TCGTTTTAATTTTTTGTGTTTTATAAGATAAATTGAAAAAAAGATAAAAGTTTGCCAAAATACGATTAATGAAAATTGGTGGAGTGTATTAAATGAGACGAGTGAGGTGTCAAGTGTAATAAATTAAGCTAGTGGGAGTAACGGTGATATTTTAAATATTAAAAAAAAGGTAATAAGAAGATTCATGTGCGTCAAATAAAAGGGCTAATAGGAGAAAATTTATGAGGAACGGAGGGAGTATTATTTATAAGAAAAAGGTATTCTGCACTTAGAGTTGACAAAATGTGTGACACCTTCGTTAAATTTGTTATCACAAATAATATTCTTTTTTTTGTTTTGACTTTTTTTGGGTCAAATAATGATATTATTTATCATAAATTCATCATAATCTAAATAAATAAATGATATAAAATTTAGATCGATATATCAAAACTATACCCTAAAACGAACCCAATTATATTAAATTTATATTATAATTTAATATACGTTTCTCAGAATCTACCGTCAAATAATGTCACTGTATCACAAAAAAATCGAAATAGCAAAGAGTTTTCAGGGACAGAGGGAGTAATACACTAAATCATAAATTTACATGAACCAGTTCATGTGATATTGCAAGACAATGTCATATCATGAGGCATATACATCGCCCTATTCAAAAATAGGTAATTTTTATCTCTCTTAACTATCCCAAAACCTACTCTGCCCCCCCCCTCCCGCCCTGCATTCCGGCGCCCTCCTCCCCGTTGTTGATCTGCTACAGTAGTTGTTGTTGTCAATCGACAAAGGAGAAGGAATCAGGGAATGCAAGAGGGTAAAAATCATCTACTCCCTCCGTCCTATAATGATCTTCCCGGTTCGCAAAACGAAGAAAAATCCCAAGTTTTTTCAATCTATTTTATTTAAATATTGGTATAGAAATAAAAAATAAAATATACATATTTAAAAACTACACCAAAAGTTCAACAAAACAAGTGGTGACAAGAATATTTTATTTTATCATACAGGCCATGAAAAAACACAAATAAATATAAATTCCCGTGAAGTTGGAATAGTGCTCTGGAAAGATCATTATAGGACGGAGGGAGTAATTTTTTAACAGATACCATAGATGTCCCGAGACATGTTATTATGAAGTTGAACACCAATATATATAATGTCTCATGGATTGGGGGAGTAACATATAATGGGCAACCTACCTTATACGGAGTAACTAGTATGGTCTATACTAGTGGGCACGTACTGTAGCAGATTCTTATTTATTCAACATTTATTTTTGCAGATTCAATGCACAATACCAAAAGCCAATGGATTCCAACCCCTTGGATTCTTGAGGAACTGTTCTTCTTTTAACTTTTTTCCTATTTAAAAAAGAGTAATGCTAGAGTCACAAACAAACAGTTCACAAAATTCACAAACTTGTCTTTTTAGCACTTTTCTAGAGATAAGATGTACTCAAATAATAAAAGATATTTTAATTTAAAATCCACAAAAAGAAAGTTTGTGAAGTTTGTGAACTATATGTTTGTGACTCTAACATTTTCCTTTAAAAAATACTCTAAATTTAACTTTGTGCGTGTACTATGAATCTATCTACGGAGTATATTTTTTTTAATCTTTTCGTCTCATTTTATACTAACTGAACATATTTTTAATAAAACAAAATATCAAGTATTACATTAATTATTAATATTTATATAAAGAATAGAAAAATATTATGGAACATGTATATTGTGTTCTATTTAAAAAAATCAAACACAATAACTATGCTCGAACATACGGAAAAAATGCAATGTAAAATGAGATGGACAATGTATTGTACGAGCTGAGTATATTTGTAGAAGATTTTGGGTATTTTTAATTGGGAAAAATTATTCTATCTTTTTCTTCATTATTACTCTTTCTGTCTTAAAAAGTTTGTCACGTTATGCAAAATTAAGTGAAATTTTAAATTTTTAAAATTCATTGTACATATTTTACGGAGTATCGAATAATTGGTGAAAATATACAAATAAATAAAAGTTCTCATGCTTTTTGAATACTAAATTATGACATTCTTTTTTGAAGGATGGAAGTACTATACTTAATTGTATAAGGTTTGTCATGGTCTATCCATTATTTTTCAATAGTTTTTTAAAAGCCATTATTTATCAATCTTTACATTGCAATTAAACCAAATATTTTAGTGACTTGCTTGACTATTGAGTGTGACAAAATTTGGTGATATATTTATTTATTTACAAATTAAAAAGATGTATGAAGTGTTAGAAAGTGGCAATATAAATTTTCTTAGAACATGGCCAGCGGTGAGGCATTTCCTCACCTTGTTGTGCCACAACAGTTCAAATAATGCTCAATCCTTAATCTGCCTTGCGAGGCTCAGCCTTCCTCCACATCAAGCGTGTGAGGCACGGGGCATCTTCCAGACTTTCTTTTTCTTTTTTATTTTTTTTTTGTAGAAGAAAGAACTTTTTTATAAAAGGTACATCTATTTAAAAAAAGATAAATAAAATAATTTTTAATAATTAAAATACATTAAAAAATCATAAAAAAGTGACAAAAATAATGAATTGTCACCGCACGAGATGCCACTTCACTCACTTGCCAAACACTAACTGAATTCTTTTTTTATTAATTAAAATGTACCACGTGTCCACGTAAACGTGTGATATTCTACTTCGTTACTTGCCATTTCCGGTGATCTTAGAAGAAGAAAAAAGTGTACAATTTATTTCAAAACTAATAACAAAAGATTTATTAGTGGATACGTAACATTGGGAGGCGGGAATCATATGCAGTACAATTTCAGGTGTAAAATTGCAAGTTTCCACTTTTTCACCAAACATGGTAAATAATGATTTTATATAAACGCAGTATAATTTATAAGTATAGATAAATTATGGTATGTGTGGTAATCGGGTAATGATAATGACCAACTTTCTATCGATTAGATTCAACCACTAAGCCCACACCATACTTAGAAAAAATTAAATGATAATGACCATACTTTCTATCAATTAGATACTGGACAATTTTTACAAAAATTTTTCTCTCTGTTACATAAATTTTAATACAAATAATTCTAATTTTATTTAGAAGAAATTCATTTTAAACCGAGACTTCATTCTTTTTCATTTCATTTATATTTTATTTTAAACACAAACAATTTTAAATTTTTAAAATATTATGAATTTTAAAAAAACAAATTAATAAATATCTATAGAGATAGAAAGAAAAGACTAAAAAATAAGTGAAAAGCGAGATATTAGCTCCAGTATTCCTTGTGGCTTGGAAAATCGGTACCAATGTCCCCTTTTCCGCCAGAAAAAATAACTAGAAAATGATTTGAGATGTATTTACAATGAAATATTTGCATAAATAGAACTAAAACTTAAGTCATTTTCCTAAATAGCACTTAAATTGTTTTATTCTCTAAATAGCACTTAATAATGTTCATAATGTCCAGTGATGACGAATATTTACTTGAATAATGACTAATGCATAATGGCTAAAAGTGCTACATTGGGAAAAAACACATGTAGTGCTATTTGGAGAAAATTATTATGTTTTAGTGCTATTTATGTAAATTCCTCAATATTTTGAAATCATAGAAATTTTAAAAATAAGTTTTGAAAACAAGTCAAGTATTATACTCCCTCCGTCTGGAAATATTCTTCCCACTTTCCTTTTTGGTCCGTCCGAAAATATTCTTCCCCTTTCCTTTTTTAGTATACTTTTTAAGGATAAATATCAATAATACCCTTCTATTTTATCACAAATCTACTTTTTTAGTACTTTTTTAATAATAAAAAGAGATTTAAAAGTTTATAGTACGTGCATTTTTGAAAAATTTGCATTTTTTACTATTTCTTAATAAGCGTGTCAAGTCAACATGGGAAGAATATTTCCGGACGGAGGGAGTAACATAAAATCTTTAAACCACAAAGGATGTTGGAGTTATTATGTCACAACAAGAAAATCTCTACAATCCAAAACAAAGAACGGTCTAACTTCTTTTGAGAGATTGTTTGGTTTGGTTTAGTTCTACATTTCTATTTAAAATGATACGGTAGTTGCACTAAAAAGTACTTTAACTAATTTGAATATAATACTTTTACAATTACCTTTCAGTGTAGTTAATTTTTTTTAAAGTACTGTTATACTTTTTTCGTCTTAGTATATTTGTCGAATTAGACTTTTTTCTAATCAAGCAATATGAACTTTGACTCTTGAGCTTCTATTAAACGAAAATTATAATGCACATTACTATAAAAATGATTTTATTTTATTTAACTTGTTAAGAATTTTCAGAATTTTATTACGTTGAACTCAATACAAATTAAGAGTAATTGAAACCCAAAGTATGTCTAATTTGATTTGAAAAAGTCAAACTTAATAAATATACCGTCACGAAGGTCACGAAGGTCGTAGTATTATTGTATTAGACAATTATCTTCTCGTATAATCTTACGCTAAAGATCATAGTCGAAAACAACGGTATCATGGTAAAATAGGTAGAATAGTAGATGATATCCTTCCGCCCCAAAATGAAATTTTTATTTTCATTTTTAGATGTTATAAAATAAAGAGTAAATTCTAAAATGGTACTTAATAATTATGAGTTTTTCTAAATTAGTTCCCAAAATTAACTAATTTCTGTGATGGTACTTGATAATTGAGAATAGTATCCAATTTTAATTTGTTCCACCGACTAACGGCCATTAAAACAGCGTTAAAGCGATGTTAAACTTTGTGCTATTTTTCTAAAGTGATACTTTCTCACTCGGGGTTTTTCTCAAATTAAACTTGTCCATTTTTGAAATAAAAATACATTAAATATGGAAAAATATTTTAAATTTTATAGGATAACAATATAATACTAAAAGTTATAAAAAAATAATGTTATAAATTTGAAAGAAAACGTTTTAGATTATTTACAATTATTTAGAAGAATATCATGTAAATAAAATATTTAATAAACATTACAGAAAATACCTTAAATAGAAGTAAAATATAAAAAAAAAAGTACCAAATTCCCCCATAACTATCTCTATATATAAGGCTGCTCCACCACTTCCCTTCTCCTCCCAAAATTCTCATTTCTCTTAGCTTTTTCTTTTCAAACCCATTCCAAAAATTCAATCTTTTTCCTAATAATAATGGAATCAGGAGGAGCCCAATTCTACAGTGGGTGTGAAGAACACCAATACAAATCCCATTTTCTTGAAGCTTGTTTTCTTTGCCAGAGACCTTTGAGTCACAACATTGACATCTTCATGTACAGGTCAGTTCATTTTGAACATTTTCTTTTATCAATTTATTTTATCTTTTATTTGTCTGTGTATTGATTTGCATATTTTGGGTGAAATTGCAGAGGAAATACACCATTTTGCAGCCAAGAATGCAGGCAAGAACAGATAGAGAAGGATGAAGCCAGGGAAAAAAGATTGAAGCTTTCTTCTTCATCTTCATCATCATCTTCTTCTTCATCTTCTTCAAAGAGAAGGTCAAACACACAGAGAAAGTCAACCCAAGAATCTGCAGCAGACGCCAAGAAAGCTGTAAGAACTGCAGGCACAGTCGCCGTGGCTTAAAAATCCAATCTTTTTTTTTCTTGCTTCAAAAAAGAAAAAGAAAAGAAGAAAATAATCCACCATGAGTCCAGGTGGATTCATCAATAATCATGTGTGTTATGCATAAGTTGATTAATTAATTAATTAATTACTCTTGCTTGTGTAATTAAGAGTTTAATTGCATAGCACACCAGCTGTGGGGGTGAGCTGGGAATCTGAGTAATTACAGTGAAATGAATGATGATGAACATGAAATGAATTTTGAATGCTTCACTTTGCCTTTAGAAGCTAATCATTAAAATTAGAAGGATTAATTAGATTTTTTCAAGGCAAATGAAAAGTTAAAATTTATTGATGAAGAAAACAAGAAATTTGGAAGAAAATTCTTGAACAGAGAGTAATATTTATTTATCTGCTATGTATACTTGTATTAACAATTAAAAGATTGTATTAAAGTCATTATAAATTTCATCATTTTAGAACAAAGCAAGTATTTTTTTTAATGGAAAACCATTTATTTTTTATCCATAAGTGATCTTGTTGGCTTTGGCTTGTGGTGGTTGAAAACAAACAAAAACAAAAAAAAAAAGAGATGGTGAAATCTATGGGCCAATGTATGTATGCATGATGACCATTTCAACGATGCCAAAAAAGTGTCACAATTTTGATTGATGATGAGCCAGCCAATAGTTACCTATGTGGAAATGCCACATTTACAAGTCAGCACAACCCTACTACATATGCCATTTTCTGCTTAATTCCAATCCATTTGTGTTGCATCAATTGGGAATTTGACACTCCATGGGATGTGATTGGGTGGGCCCCATTCATTTAAATTATTTGTGTGATACACACCTTTCAATCTTCACTACCTTGACCCATTGACATATTTCACTCTTAAACTCAAAAAAAAATGTGCTTCCATAAAATTCATATTACAATAGCAAAAAAAACATGTGCAATTGTTAAGATTTCAAAATTGATATTTAAATATATGTTTAAAAAATAATTTTAAACTATTTTGGAAACATGGGAGCGGTGACATAAGGTGGGGGAAGGGGGGTAAGACCCAGTTATGAGCTCAACGGAGCACCGTAGGGCCCCTAAATGGTTTGGTGTCATAATGTATGACACCGAGGACCGGTGTCAAAAGAACCGGCCTCAATTAAGTATATAGAATGTGGGTGGGGGTGGGGGGGTGGGGGACCTTTTGTTTTCAAGTGACTTTAGCCCTATGCATGATCATAAACCCTTTCTTGCTCATCCCGCCAACGCGTTCGCTTAGTTTCGCCAAATGGGCCATCCGCCGAGTTTCTGACTCGACAGGGCCCACCCGATCTGGCATCCGGTCTTCATCATCATCATCAAGAACTGGATCTTCTCCAGCCCAGTCACAAGCAGTGCTGTTCTGAAGAATCAGATTCAGAGTCTCCACCACTGTGCTCATCTTCGGGCGCTCCTTTGGGCTCTTTGACAAGCAAATGTCGGCCAGTTTCGCGACCTGTCTCGCCGAGCCTGGCGAGTATTGGTTACCCAGTCTTGGATCCATTATCCGTTTGAATCTCCGGCTATCCGCCGGGTACTGCTTGACCCATTTCAAGAGATTCTGTTCTGAGATGGGTCTGTTTCTCTCCATTGATCTTCTTCCTGTTAGGATTTCGTACAGTACCACACCGAAGCTCCACACGTCACTCTTGGCTGTGAGGTGACCAGTTTCAACATAGTCCGGTGCTGCGTAGCCATATGTGCCCACAGCCTACACACCAATGGCATAGTGTGAAGATTAAATTTTAAAAACCGAGGGATGGTGAGATTCGATTTTTAAGATACATTGGAAAAATGAATGAATGTAGACATCCACTATGTCCACATTCATCCATTTTTCGAATGTATCAAAAAAGTCTGAAAAGACCGTTAACATGGAATGGAAGGAGTAATCTCATGATAATGAACAAGTGGCAGCATATATCAAGGTTCCCTACCGCTGTGGATACGTGAGTATCAAGCCCCGTGGGGCCCTCCCTTGCAAGACCAAAGCCTGCGAGCTTTGGCTTGAAATCATCGTCTAGTAACACGTTTGAAGACTTAAAATCTCGATATATAACCTGAAAGATTGACATTGGGAAACATTAGTTTGAGCCCTCTAATGCTAGCAATTTTCCCAAAAATGACTTCTCTTCTCTTTTTCTTATCAAAATGAAAAAAAATCCAGTCTTCCTTCTTCTTTTAAGCTTATTTTTCTTCTCATTTTCTTTTTCCTTCCACTTTTCTCTTTTTTTCCTCTTTAACCAGACATGAAAATTTGATTTCCATTTCATTTTCTTTTATTTTCCCTCTCATAATCTTTGAACCAAACATAGTGTTAAAAGAAAGATTTGTGGATGCCAAAACCTGAACTTCCAATTGTTCGTGCAAATATGCTAAACCTTGAGCTGCTCCAAGCACTATCTGCAGTCTTCTTTGCCAGGAAAGGGGCGGATAAGCCTTGTTGAAAAGATGGTCATCAAGACTTCTGTTTGGCATATATTCATAGACCAGCAGTCGCTGAATGCCCCTCTCTGCATCAACAGAACAGTACCCGATCAGTTTGACGACGTTCGGGTGATCCACAACCCCAAGAAACTGCACTTCTGCTACCCATTCTTTATGGCCCTGTGTGGAAATAAGAACAAGCTATAAGTCTATACTTGAATTTCATAGTGGCTGTTGAAGAAGTATGAAAAAAAACCTTTTTTTCCCTTTAAACATTCTGGCTTATTCTTCTTCTTAATCAGCACATTATAAACAGATTTTGACTTATTTGGCATAAATGGATGTCACAAAATGATTTTCCTTTCAAAGCATTAAGTAGATTCAGCCATTTCAGACAAATAACTCTTACCAAGCAGACTTTAAATCGAATGGAAAGTACCAAACACCCTATTGAACAATAAGTAACAACAATAACAACAACAACCTAGTAAAATTCGAAGTCCGTTTCCCTTAGACCGTAGATGGATTCTTGCATTTACTGCCCAAAACATCATAGAAAGCAGGATGCAATAGAAGTTTAATGTGTCTTTTTTATTTAGTTAGTCCATTAGGTTCCCAAAACTTATACATTGTCAATGATGATGACTCTTTTAGCTCTATTGGCAATGGACAGAAAATGCCCTCTTGAATGAATGACTAAAATGTCATTATGAACATAGCTATAATTTTCAGGGTGAAATTTTACCACACCTGATGGCCATCAGCATTGAGCTTCTTAATTGCAACCACAATGGGCTCACCATGTCCATCAACAGCCATAATTCTTCCCTTGTAAACACACCCGAACCCGCCTTCGCCAATCTTTAACAACCTATGGAAGTTATCAGTTGCTTGCCTAAGCTCTCGGAACGAAAACACTCTCAATTTCTGAGATTTCCCCTCATACACTTCCGAAAACCTGCGGGGAGTTGAGGTTGCACAAGAAGACTGTGTGGACCTCTTAGCAGCTGATTTATTACTCCCCCCTTTCATCACTGGCTCAGATCTTTTCCCCCTACCTTTGCTCTTATCCTTGAAGTAGAACAGGCAATTCATTTCTACTTTTATTTTATTCTTTTCCTCCTCTCTCTTTTTTCTATCCAGATTCAACAAAAATGTGCCAAGATTCAAATTTTCAGCCTCGGAAGCTGAATTTTCCCTGACCCAAATATCAAGAACAGAAATTAAATCTCTTCAGAATCCAGACAGAGAAAAAAAGTTAATGTCAAAAGGAAGTCATAATAGAATTCGAGAAAGAACAAGAAATGTAGGTTAATGTCATCAATGACTTGAAAAGTTTTTGCCTTTTGGTTTAAAAAGTTCAATTTTCAACAGCCACGGACTTCTTGGCCAAGAAAGAGAGACACCCAATTTTCATAGCAGTGGAAAAAGCAGAGATAAATTCACACATATAAATCTTTACAATTGTGAAAAAAAGAAACAAGGGTACACAGTTACATACGGCTGCATATGTGATGCGAGTAGGTGGGAATCCACCGGGCTTTCTTCATAAGTAAATCCTGCAAGAGGGGAAAACAAGGAATAAGAAAGAAGAAGAAGAAGAGGAAGAAGAAGGCATCTTTGAATCTGGTTTGTTTAGTGGCAAATGGCGACGACGCGTGAGGTTGACTGCTTTTTATCTTCAGTGAGTTCGGTGCCAAACTTAGAATACAGAACAGAAAAATACCGAACCGAAAAAGTACGGAGAAGGAATCGAACCGTACCGAACCGAATGACCGGTACGGTAATTGGGAACGGTACGAGGTGACTTCCCATACCGAAAATCCCGAACCGAACATATATACTAAAATATTATTAAAAAAATAATACTCCGGAATAATATTTTTATATTCCTTTACTAAATAATAATTTTTTTTAAAAAAAGTTGGTTCAAGTTCTATTATGTGTGAATTATACTTTTATTTGAGTTTTAATTTTTGTGTTTGAACATAAAAGTATTCACAAAGATTCAAAATACTCCTTTGTTGTCGACTTGTCGTTCATTTTTTTAGTTTGTGAAATATAAACTAAGTTTTGATACGCATTTCTTGCATTTAAATGTTCATTTTATTTAATCTTTCATGTTTTTTTTATTTAAATTCACTTTTAATTTTCAAAATAAAGGGACATTGTTAAATTTTAAGGTGTAAAGTATGTATGTATATTCATCCCGATTTATACCGAAACCGATACCGAACCATCCCGAACCATACCGAACCGATATTTCAAGATCGGGATCGGTACGGAGAAAAATCTCATACCGAACCGAAATATTTGGTACGGTATCGGTACGAACTAAATACCGTACCATACCGTACCATGCTCACCCCTACTTTGGACTGCCTCCTCTACCAAATGAACTTTCAATTTTCCATGTTAGTTTGAGGATTAGCATGTCCCACCCATAAAATTGACGGATCCTGTTATCTAATTTTTCTGTAAGGGTCTGTTTGGGAATAGCGTTAGCTATTAGCGTCAGCATTTTGGATAAAATTTTAACGGTGCAGATTAATTTGAAAACGCTAACGCTAAACGCTGCCCGTAGATAGCCTTTTGAAAACGCTAACGCTAATCGCTAAAGCTATTCCCAAACAGGCCCTAAATTCTCTCACCTCGTCTTGATCTGAATACACCCCCACCACCGCTTATCCTGTTCGTAAAATTAATGGTAGTATAATTACTTTTGTCCAATAATTTTTTTCTGTGTTGACTTGGTACAAAGATTTTAAAAAATTAAAAAATGCAAGATTTTCTATATTCATTTTTTATGTGATTTGGTAATGTGAATATTGTAGATAAAAACTGGAGGTATAATGACACATTTATTAAAAGTATTTTACCAAAATAAGAAATGGGAAATAAATTTATGAACGGTTCAAAACAGAAAGTGAGAAAGAATTTAATGGACGGAGAGAATATTTTTTTTACTTGATTTATTATTAATACTTAGTATAAAATTAAAATTTATATATGGAGTAGTCAAAAAAACTTTTTATTTTAGTTTGGGTGTTACATTTATTTTTAATTTAATTTTTATAGAATAAAGCGTTACGAAATATTTTAATATTTCAATGTATCAAATGACCAATATTTCTTGAAAAAAAATGATTAGTATTTTGAATGGTCACTATTATTCAAACGGTTTAGTATAGTTAAAATCATTAAGTACTGTGTTATTTAAAAACAGAATGACAATATTTTATACTCAAGATCATGTAAAATATGGCGTAGCAATATTCTAATTCATCCTTACTAACATACTACCGGATACTACATTATTCTTTGTCTAGATGAAGAGAGAATATGGAGCAAAATAATTGTTGTTTGGATAAGTAGAAAATGAAGGGAAACGAAGTGGAAAGAAAATGTGTTAAAATAAAAAAAGATCATTTTGTCCTAACTATATTCTCGTATTAATAAGTTATAAGGATGAAGGACAAAAGAGTCATTTAATAACTTTTCTCTTTAGTGACTCAATTTTCTCGCGTCTTGAGCAGAGAAAATAATTTTCTAAAAACACCCATCTCGATCTTACTTCTACTACCACCGTCAGTCCATCACCTTAATGACCTTAATAATAAGGTTTCAACTGTGAGAAATCATATTCGAAAGGAAACTGAAATCTAAAATAAAATCCCATGAAAAGAAAAATAAAATCAAAATTGAGACGGAAAAAAAATCAAATTTGAAAAGGAGAAATCGAAATGGAAAATAAGAAAATGTTGAGTTAGGGATGGAAGTAAAATTCTCTATTGATTCAACTCTTATTTGTTATTCACTCCCAAATATATGCAAGTCATACTCTGTAGTTTTGTACGGAGTAATTAGTAAGGTACTTTAATTTAGGGACAATCACTTGTAAATTTTACCGAGTACAACTTTTGGATTATCTTCTTTTGTGTCGCATTTTGGCTGAAAGTTTTTTTGATTTTGTGAGAGAAATGCTATTATCTTAATTAAGGCCTCTTTAGGTTTCTAGTTTTTAAAACCATATCGAATTTCAAACCCACCCATCTTATATCTCCTGTCTGCTTACATTGCAGGAAATGTCCCAACTTCGCTGCCAATAGAATGTTATCTGATATAAGTCTCCCTGGCAAAAATGCAGATTGAGATCCTGAGATTACTCGTTGAAGCAGTCTCTCTAGACAATTGGCGAGGACCTTTGCAACCAATTCATTACACAAAGCGATTGGCCTAAGATCTCAAACCCACGTCATCTGATGCGGAAGAAGTTAAGCATGCCTTATTTGTCTCATATCATATCCGACAAGCTAGGAAACAACGAGTACTTGCGTCTCCCAAACATAAATTCAATGAAAGCAAATGGTAAATCTTTTAATGGGATAAAAGCATATTTATTGCTATATTGAAGTTGTTACTTGATTGAAGTTCTTAATTTAATTCATTTAAACATTGGTTCAAAATTTTAAAAAATTAAAAATTACATGCTTCGTAAAAGATTACAAAATATTATTATTACTCGTATTATTTCAAATAGTTACTCCTCTCGTCCCAAAATATTTGTCACATGAGGCAACACAAATGAATATCAAATGACCAAGACACAGAAGACTATACATGCTTAGGTTGGAGTAATTCTAAAAATAGAAATGATACTACGTATATGGTTAATATTGTCTTACACTACTCTGCTTTTTAAAGCCCTATAAAATGCAGTCCATAGTACATAGTACTTAGTAACATCAATTAAACTCTGACAAATTACTCCGTAACAGGCAAATTTTTATTTAAAATTTAAAGTTAACATGTAACTTGACTTTTAATTTCTAATTGAATTTGTCACAGCTTATTCTGTGACGCACAGTTTTTTAAGAACTAATATTAGTTTGTAATGGATATGTCATGACAGATAAACTCAAATTTAAAATATTTGTTATTAGTTTTTATTTTTTTTAAAGAAAAATATTCACAAATTATTCCCCCTGCAAATCAAATATTTTTTTTGTCAAGAATATTTCTGTGATAAGTTGTTGCTCCTTAAAATTCACAGTCCATAACATTTTTGCACGTGACTACGGCATGATAAATGCTGTCACGGATTCAGGTCGGTGAGAACGGACTTGTCATACGATATTCGACACAGTTCCCTAATCCATGACAAAAAAATGTGTCAAGGAAATTTTAAACTATAATACTTCGAGAATCCGTGACAAAAGAAGCATTTTTTAATAGCGACTACTCCTTTTAAAAAGAGCAAAAGATAGAAATTTAACAAGTAGAATCATACATCTGAGTTAAGAGCATTTGGCTGCCGCTAATGCCGCATCTTAAATGACTAATGCCACTTCCCACTCACTTAAATTCCTTATTCTCACTCTCTAAATGCTAAGTGAAAATTTAAGTGCGCCATATTGACGATACCAAATTTGAACTAGTTGAGTGGCATTACTTGTTAGTCACAAACTAAATAGTCATGAATTTCACACACTTACCATTTGTAAACATAAATTTTTACTTCAAAATTATTTAAAATTATTTTGTGCTCTTAATGAGATTCACGAATGGTAAGTTTGTAAAGTTTGTGACTATTTAGTTTGTAACTCTAGCATTGCTCAAGAAAAATACTCACAAAAACTTTAGTACAACTTCTATTATGCATCAGCCGAGTCTCTAAGTGCCACAAAGGCACAAACACCTCGCTTTTTTAAGCATTACCAGAATAGACTCTCAGGAGAAGAAAGAACGACTTCTATTGCGCTCCAGCCGGGCTTCTCTCTACAAAAAAAACACAACCAATAAAAAGAAAAAACACCCAAAAAAATCAGATGAAGTATTGGTTTGCCAGTCTAGACATATTAAAAATGAGTTCCCAAGAATCATAAAAGCAACATGAGTAGGGGATTAAGGAGAAGACCTTTTGATTTAGCATACAAAGATAGAAGTAAAAAAAAATAATAAATAAAAAAGAGGACGTTTCCATATTACTAGGTTTTCTGTATTGCTGTAAAACCCTAGTAGTAACTAGTTATGTGTCTGTTCTTTCTTTTTGAATTAACTGTCCTCTTACAATATTTAGTAAACACATTATGAGAAATTGCCAAAACTACCTCCTAGAGAGGATACTATAATGTTTTTTTAGGCCAATGGAGGAGGAGCCAATTTCAAATCCACTTTTGTCAATTCACCTCATTCCTTAAACTTGTGGTAGGTACTAAGACAAATGGAGAACAAAATCCAGACAGAGGGAGTACAGTATTGAATTAAAGGGACAATTGCACTTGTGGTCCCTAAAGTGTTCCACATTTTGTAATCTAGTTTGTCTTTGATTATTTTGTGGAAGCAAAATTCATAACAATACTCTAAGAAATTCAAGATTTTACATTAATAATCCAAGATTACATAATCATGGCTGGAACTCCAAGAATTTTAATATTTTTACACAAATACTAGAAGATTACAAAGTGAACACAAATGCCCATGAAAATATTGGGCATTCAAGTGCAAAAATTTTTTTATGCAGTATTACTATACAAATGTTTAAATTTTGATAGTTAGCTTTGACAATTTGTGTAATTTGGAGTAATTGTCTAAAATCTCAAATTTGTGGGAGCATTAGCTTTTATTTTTTCCTATGTGGAAAAGCAGCAAAAATTGACAGGGCTCTTTGCTTGCTTTATAGAAGATGAGACATCAATGTTTCTCAAAACACACATTGACAAAAGTAAATCCACAACGCAAACCAAAGCCCCGTAAAATCGTAAATCTCACTCAAGAGTAGGGTAGAGGTTGTGTCTGAGAGGCCTCAAATATAATGTGATGCAAATATTAATTAAAATATAATGTGATCCGTATATGTATATAGATACGTGTGTAGATACATATTATCCCTAGTCGCTTTTCACTTGCATCAATTGTATTCCTTGGAAAACATATAGCTCCTTAATCACACGAATTGTCAAAGTTAACCATATCTAAAATCGAAACTATCTGAGCACACAAGTAACTGCTTGGCATGTCCTAAAGGTTTGTCTTACTATCTTATTAACGTTGTGACTGTAGTAATTTACTACTGTGACATCATTGCACTCACCTTTAGTGGAAGGTTAATAATCTTTAAAAAAATATAGATAAGGGAGAACAGAGACGAAATGAGTAGATGCATGATATAGTTAATTAACAGAGGTAATCAAGTCACTTGACACTAAATTAATTGAAAGTGGAGTTATTGGCTAGTAGAAAAAATCTTGCCTCAGTGGTTTCCCCACTAAAGCCCACTGCCCAATCAAAATAATGGGATAATTGCACAAATTGCCTCTTGACTAATCGATAACAGTGGCCCCTCAGTTCCATAAATTCAAGGGTGTTGCTTTCCCATTTTATAAAAATTGTTTGCGTCTCTTATTGAGGAAGAAAACATGCAAAGAAAAAACTTGGAAGAAATGAAAATTAAAAATCAATTTTTTTTTAAAAAAAAACCATGCTTGTACCTGAAGGCCCGATGTATGTAATGACAAGACTTTCTTCCATCTTTTGAATCTTCGTGAAGGGCGTGGATATACTCAAGATTATTGGTAATTATTTGACATGCTCTTATAACTTTTAACCTTTATATTCTTTTGGTTGACTATTTGAACTTGGTCTGCAGTATAAATTGATCATATACCACTTTTAACATTTTTGGTCATATACACTTAGGCATCATACATAACTGGCTACACTCTGAACATAACTTATAATCAGTTTTAAGTATTAAGCATCCTGTAATTCCTGTGAGGCTGTGACACAATGGATTGAATGAAATCAACCTAAAAATACTGACCAGTACATGAATCAGTCCAACTGGTGTTAGATCCAAACCCAAATTGAGCATCACTGACCCCCCCCCAAAAAAAAAAACAACAAACACTAGTACTGGTACTGTACAGAGGGAAAATGATTAACTTACTGGAGAACTGTAGGGCCTAGGCTTGATGAAGAGAGAATCAAGTATTAGAAACCCGATTTGTTTGGATGGAGATAGCACATGATGTGCTATATTCTTGAAGACCAAGTAAAGAGTAAAATAGTGAAAGAATAGGACAACTATCTGTGTTGCCTAGGTTGCAGACACTCTACACGTTTATACAAAAAATCACGCCGAATAGACGTGATTGGTTCAATATAAATTGAAAATCACATAAATATTTTACACAATTTTGATGTAATACAGTGAAAAACACAGTATTGTACTATTGTTCATACTTTACATTATTTGACACACAACATTACTATGTACTAAATGGCAAAAATTCACACCATAACACCATTTAATATTATTGACACAAAATCAGAAACAAAACAGTCCTATTCTCAACCATCAATAAACACACACACACACACAAACAAACTTAATCCCAAAGACTCAAATTATTGCAAGCGGCTTATTCTCAAATCATCAACAAAAGGCATCTCAGTGCACAAAATGAGGGAGTCTAATGTAGGCAAACTTTACCCTATATTATCCAAAGAGGTTGCTTTCATGACTCAAACTCTTGACCTCAACCAGTGCGTCAACGCTCCCCTTCAATTCCCAATTGACAGTGCTTCGGTTTAGAGACTTATAAATCACCCTAAGTTATTGGATATGCCATTCTAGTGTTGTTTCAACACTAGAGATAATAATGTGGTAGTGGTAGTCCAATTGATTGATTTCATTTTATGAGAATAGATTAACAAAAGTATATTTATAAGAAGTTAAGGGCATGAAAATTAATTGCAAACAAATGGAAACCTCTGTTACAATTTCTTATTCCCTGCATCCAAAAATGATATTCCTGTTTACTATCCGGGTCAAACTTTATTCACTTTGTTTGCCTACTTTCGTTATCCATTTGATAAAATAATAGAGTCATGTCACCTCTAGTTTTGTAGAAGTTTTGATGTAGTTTTTAAATATATAATTTTTATTTCTTATTTCAAACCACTTTTCATAGAAATTGATTTGGAAATTAACTTTAGTCAAACATCGTAACACGCAACGACAAGACAATTTTTAGACGGAGGGAATATATGTTTGTGTCGACCACTTGGCCCAGACCATACTGAGAAGAGGAAAAAGATTAAGTGGTGCAAGGGGAAGGAGAAACAGAAAGAAACAGCAAACAGATAAATTGGAGAAAATATTTGATCTTCTCTACTTCATTCTCTAAATTTATGGTATGCAGAAACAAAAGACAGCAGCCTTATAGACCAAATTGAGGAGTTTGCAGCAGAAAAAATTGGAAAACTGTGTTCAATTGAACACTGCACAAACTAGAGAAGCATGTGCGTGTGAGGTTGCCGTTGGTCGCAAGTTGCAACATGAAGATGGTTGATTGGTTGTGGCCCTAGTCTTGTTCTACATAAAAATTGAAGCTGAAACTGATGACTAGGAAGAGAGATGAATTGCAACCAAAGATCCAATAGGTAACCTTTCCTTGCCAAAATAGAAGGGCTAGACTTGGCGGGTGCACCAAGTGCTACCCACATGGTTTGTGAGAGGGAACGAACATTGTATATGTAGGATTGACGCAGCTTTTTCCTCACAATTTTAGCCAAGAGGCTGCATTCACGGCTGTTGAACCTGTGCCCCTTCAGTGACCAAAGGAGCAGTCTGTGCCCTTTCAGCACTCTTTACTTGGATAAAAGAGGTTCAAAAATTTCAATCTATTGAAAATAAATTGTGTCGAGTCCCATAGATATTTTTGAAATAAAAAAAAAAAGATGGCTTGGTAAATGCATCAAGGCTCACAAACCCATTTATGATTAGCTCAAAAAGATTGAAAAATAAAATTATGGCGGCTTAGTCTGCCTAGCACACAGCTCCACCCCAAAACCTATGACAGCTGCCTTCATAACACTGACCTTGACTTTTACACTGCTACAGCCTACCCCTTAGTACTGAACTTCTACTTGACTCTTTCCCCAGCACCCAACTTCTGATTCCATCCGTGTGAAATTTAGGTGTGACAATTGGGTCCTGAATCCCTTAGCCTTTAGGGGATTAGGGAAGGGGGGAGTTCAACCACCAACCATTGAAAAAGGTCCTATAAGGTCATGGTATAAGGAGGTATTATCTCCTCCTTTAGGACAAATGTGTGATCAATTTTACCACTGATAAAAGACATGGATGTAACTGCGTAAGCAATCAATTCTTAGGTTACAGATGCTCGATGTGTTGAGGCTTAAAGTCTACTGCAAAAATCTTATGCAAAATGCAAGGGACAAGGCAAACATTGCCCCATTTTATTATTGAGCTAGAATTCTTCTTCTTTGATAACTTAATTCTTCTTCTTATTGGACCTTTACCGTGTTTAGAATCTCCCCATATATATAGAGGAGTCCCAAACTCTGTTATGCTATGCCTAATTCTTGCCGAACTCTGGAGTAATATTTTTCCCTAGCTCGTACAAAAGCAGAAATCCCTGAAGGTGAAAATATAGTTGCACAGCAAGAAGAGATATTAATACCTCTTTTTTCTTACATTCCTTGTACATGTCAAAATGCTTTTGACATTTACTCTTGTCGGAGCTAAATTCTTCTAAACCTGCAAAGCATACAAAATACAAATGTCACAAGATATCATCAACGCCAACAATCCACTAAGCCTAAGGTCCCTACAAGTAGAATGTGGGGAGGGTGGATGTAAGGAGACCTTACTCCTAACTATAGAGTTAGAGACTCTGTTTCTCAAAGGCTCAAGAAAACATAAAAACATGATGAGGCAAACAAGTAACAAAAGAAAAACAGAAAGGAAAAATAAACTAAAGAAACAGAAAGGGTGAATAGATAACAATACACAAGAATAAAAACCCCTACCAAGGCTACTAGATATTTAGGGAATTATTTTCAAAACCTGTTGTATTTATTTTTTTCAGAAAATAAATGAATGGGCAATGCCCAGAATTTTACAAAAGATTCTCTTATTGCTCAAAGTACTCCTCCCTAAAAACCCTAACTTTTTGGAGAACTTCCAACCTCAAGAGTGGAACGCCAAATCGTCCTAGCATTGATGGGCTAGTATGTGACTTAAATCCTTTCCAAATAGATTACTCTACTCATATAGTAGCCACAATAAGATTTACACCATACAATATCTGCCAAACTTAAGGGGTTTGGGCAGAACACTAGTATAATAAATATGTTATTCCTTTAGCTCAGAAAAAAAAGCAGTAATAAATTTAAAAAACATAGTAAATCAAAGACTGACAGGTAACTTATATACCTAATGCGCTCTCTGTCACTCTCTACTGTGACAATGATTTTTTCAACTATGCATTAGGTTAAACTAACTCTTCTTCCTTTGCTATTTCCCAAAATATATCATCTCCAAATTCAATTTTTTGCACTTTGGTATAATTTTCTGAACATGTAAAGAAGGCAATAAAATTGTGGCGTCCTTTTAAGAAACACAAGATCATAAACATTATGAATTGAAGCACTTCAAAAACTGGTAGCGACAGAGAAAAAAATAAGAAAGCGGAAACAATAAGATAAGCAGAGTCGGATTTAGTACTACATTTAAGTGAAGCGCTGTACTCCTGGTAGCAATCGGAATCGGAGAGCCTCGTTCCCGGAATTAATTGATTAATTGCAGGATGGGTGATTTTTTTCCTTTATAGTATCCCATTTATACATTTTACGATTTAAAAATCACAGAAACTTTTATTTACTATTCAAAAACCATAAAAACTTTTATTTATTGTGTGTTTTTATTGACTACTTAATAAAATAAAATATTTTTGTCATATTTTGTTTTGTAAAGTATGTTTGACATACTATGACATACGGATATGACATGCGGCTTTAAGGCCAAATTTTCAAACAAAGCACCGTAGGTGCCCCAATTAAAACCTATTCATACTTTCATAGTATGGCATGCGAGTTCAAGGTCACATGAACCCTTCCATTTATCTAGAAATACACTCGTGCCCATATATTGGCAACTGGACCGAGGGATGCTCTTGAGAATTTGGATCAAACCGAAAAAATATTGTTCACAAAATTAGGTGAGTTTTTCGTAACACTAATAATTATAATAGTGTCTGTTCATATATACTATCTCTGTCCCGCTATATTCGTTCACTTTTGACTTTTGGAACTGTTCATCTAAGCATTTTGACTCATCAAATTCTCTTAATGTGTAAGCCTAAATATAGTCATGTGTGATCTTGTTTGATTTGTCTTAACATATAGATTATTAATATCTATAATTTCTATAATTTTTTAATATACAAATTACAAGATAAAATTGATTAAAGAAGTGTATTGCATGGTGTGCAAAAATGAAAGTGGATAAATACTCTGGGATGGAGGGAGTATATTCTCAAACACTAAACATGTGACCTCCCATTATAAAAAGTCACCTTGTGGTGGACCATAAGCTCTTTTTTTACTACACCACAAAATAAGACTTTACATTGTAACATTCCGATATTATATACTGGCATCTCACTGTATTTTTGGGTACTATGTCTATATTGGCATTATTAGCATTGTATTCTATTTTGGAGATAAAAAACATAAAACTTCTATTCGGGTACTTTCATCGTGTTTTTTAGGAATCATGTTTTAATTCTAGTTTATTTTCTTTTTCTAAAAGAAATTAAAAGTATTTAATTTGTTTTAACAACATAAATATGTTTTTGGGAAATTATTTTTTATGGTGTATGAATTTTGACTTTTTATGAATAAATTACAATCATACACTTTTCATTTATATAAACTTCTATACTAAAAAGTGTTTAAAAAAAAGTAAATTCTCTAATTAGTCTTTTTATAAATGGGAGGTTTTTCATATTTAGTCCATATTTATCAAATATTATGTTCTCAGTCCTTATTAATTTGGTATCATTCTAAGTTTAGTCATTGTCTAACGACAAGGAGACCGAAAAATTGACGGGGGACCAAACGTTGAATAGACCCAAATAATAAAGATTGTTAACATAATATTTGATAAATTTAAACTAAATATGAAAAAACCACAATTATAAAGGACTATTTAAAGAATTCACTCTAGATTTTTGGTGAGTAAAAACATTTTTTATTTAAAAAACTAAATTAAAATACACTCCCTCTGTCCTATTTGTGAGGTTTGACCGACTTTATTTTCAATTTAATTTATTTGATTGTAGGTGTAAAATTAAAAAATAAAATTTATTCTTTTGAAAACTACGTCAAAAGTTCTAGAAAACAAGAAGTGACAAGACTGAAAAAAACGTTTTAAGATGGTGAGATTATGTCACTAATAATTTCCAATAGTGAAATTTGCACTAAATAGGACTAAAACATAATGACTTTCCTAATGTAGTACTTAAACTTTTTTATTCCCTAAATAGGACTTAATAATTACCTAGTGGAAGGAATAATGTCCAGTAATGATGGACATTTAGTTGAATAATGACTACTTGATAATGATCAAAGGTCCTACATTGAGAAATAAAAACATATGGTCTTATATTGGAAAAGTCATTATATTTTAATCCTATTTAAGTAAATTTCTCTTTTCAATATAGTATATACATACAAGCCCCCAAATAGTAACAAACCGGTCAAACCCCCTAAGTTAGTGTGATTCATACTACTACTCCTTATTATAACATCTTTGGTTTGAAAAGTTAAACACCTAGCTAGCTAGCTCCACTTATTACGGACTAATTAACAAACTTTCCATGCAGTGAGTGAGGATCGGAGATCATCAAGGCGGAGGCGGCGGCCGGCGGGAGGATCACCACCATGACAACCGGCGTCAAGATGGATCGCAGCCACAACAAGAAATACCCCATCACCTCTCTAGCCATGGTTTCTCTCCTACTAGTCATCTCCCTTTGCCTCTGCACATGGACCCCACTCTCCATTTCCTTCCTTCCCCAGTCCCACTTCACATCCAAGGTAAATTCAATTAGCTATTACAAAAAATTGTTTTTTTTAAAAGAAAAATTCATGTCATTCTGCACGTAAAACATTTGCAATTTTACTCCGTTTTATTTTTTAATTTCACACCATTTTCATTTAAAATGAATATCTAACGCATAAGAGGAGGATACTTTTTAGATGGAGAGCAATATTTTTCATCAACTTTTTTTTAGAAATTTAATGTTTTTATAACAATGTGTCATATATATACACTAAAGTTCATGCAATGTGACATTGACACCGAATGTCATAGGATGATCCGAACTTCCTACGGGATTCCGTTAAAAAAATTGATGGTTACTATCTCCCGATCATCCTGCCCCGGCCCACCTCCCTTTCGCTGATTGCAGTGACCAATATAGTCAATTGGCGAAGGAGAATGGGGAATGTGAGGAGATTTAGGATACAGGAGTATATTTTATACTCCGTATAAGAAATATTTGCACTAAATAGCACTAAAACCTAAGTCATTTCCCTAAATATCACTTAAACTATTTTATTCCCTAAATAGCACTTAATAATGTCCATAATGTCCAATGATAGCAAATATTTGTTTGAATAATGACTAATGCATAATAACTAAAAGTGCTACACTGGGAAGAACAACACATGTGGTGCTATTTAGGAAAAGTCATTATGTTGTAGTGCTATTTAAGGAAATTTTTCTTTATATAATGCTGGTACTATGAAATACTTGTAATTTGGGATTGGATGTTGGCATCTCAAAGTATTTTTGACCTCATGTTTTGGCATTATTAATCTTACTTTGATGTGTGGGATTTGTTTTACTTTAGTTAGATACTTTTTCAGTTTTTTTACAGAGTAAAAAAATACTCTTTTTGTCTAATATCTTTTTTTTAAATTTGATTTATTAAAATCTCATATGAACATAAATATCTCTATTTATATATAAACATAATTCGTATATTCTAAAAACACGATACTTTGAAAATTACAATTCAAATGTAGTCTATATATATTAAATTTATATCACAACTCAATTGTTTTCATAAGTATCACATTTCACTATAAAAATTAGCTAAAAAATTAACTTTTAAATGGAGCAGATGATAGTCTTGAAATAATCTTTAAAAAATCTCAAGTTCTTTGCTAGAGTGGTATTTTAAAATTGGGTAGGATGTCGTTACAGGGGACGGTGGTAAAGGACCATCTGGAAGAAGCCTTGCAGAGGGCGACGATGGGAGCAAGGAGCAAGACAGTGATCATAACGATAATAAATCGGGCGTACGTTGAACCGGTCAACGGCGAGACCCAGTCAATGCTGGATCTTTTCCTAGAGGGGTTCTGGGAGGGGGAAGGGACGAGGGCGTTGGTGAACCGGATGCTAGTGGTTTCAATGGACCGAACTGCCTATCAGCGGTGCATTTTCCGCCGGTTGCATTGCTATAGGTTGAGAACTGACGGAGACGGCGATGGGGACTACGCCTCTGAGAAGCTTTACTTGTCTGACGGGTTTGTGAGGATGATGTGGAGGAGGACTCTCTTCCTCACCGACGTTCTTAAACGTGGTTACAACTTCATTTTCTCAGTATGTACTACTTTTATCCCATTATTTTCTCCTTTTTTACGGGCTCCAAGTTACTATTTTAAATATCATTAAGTTTTCATTTTTAATACTGAGGTTGTCGGTTCACATGCATGCAGGACACAGATATAATATGGTTAAGGAACCCATTCACGCGATTAAGTCTCAACACCACAGAGGATTTACAAATAAGCACAGACGCCTTCGACGGTGATCCATGGTCGGAAAAGAATCCGATCAACACCGGGTTCTACTACGTACGGTCCAACAACCGGACCATAATGATGTTCGAGGCATGGTATAAGTTGAGGGAAAGGTACCCGAGCAGTAGTCGAATGAAGGAGCAAGACGTGCTGGCGAAGATGAAACGTGATGGCATGTTGAGGGACATGGGGCTCCTCGTACGGTGCTTGGACGTTGTCCACTTCAGTGGCTTTTGCAGCGACAGCAAAGATGTCACTGCAGTGGTGACTGTCCATGCAAATTGTTGCAAGTCCATTAAGGCAAAAATGGTGGATCTTAGAAATGTTTTGAAGGACTGGAAGGTTTATCGCCGCCAGAAGTACTCTTCTTCAAGTAATAATAATAAAGAAGAAATCAGTAGAGATTTCAAGTGGTCGGAACATGTTTCGTGTAGAAATTCCTGGAAAGGATTTAATGCAACAACAATAGTACATTGCCTACATGAGCGCTGATTCCCAAGCGACAATATGAATTTGTAACCTTTGGTTGAAATTAATAAAATTAATTTTCCAAACTATTTTATTCGCATTCAATTTTTTTCCCTGAAAGAGCAACCATCAAGATAAGTAGCCAAGTCCAAATCTACGAAGATACACATATCTCCATGATTTGTAGCCAGGGTTGCTCTAATTTCTTTCGATTAGGCTCTTCCACTAATAAGGAAGAACGCAATTTTGTTCGGGTCTGACTTTTTACCGAAAAGAAAGAACGGCTAGAACAAGAAGTAAATTAAGGAGTGGATGCAGGTTAGAGTGGTCTGAACGATATGTTGCTCCAGAATGAGTATTAGGTTACTTTAAAATGAGTACTAAGTTATTTGAGAATGAACGCTGCATTATTCGTAAATGAATATTATAATTATAATGAACAAATATGAAAAAATGAACATTACATTATTTCAGAATAAGTTCTATGTTGATTGAAAATGAACACCGCATTATTTCAAAAGAAGTATTCTTTTACTCCAATATGAACACTTATACTTTGTGCAAAAATGAGTACCAATTCACTTTAAAACGAGTGTTGCCCGTATGTACCATAGTTCTTGTACAACCGGCTATACAATATAGGCATTCATGTCATCCTATGACATAGGCCTCGATTGGAGCACCTACGGTGCTATGTTTGAAAAATTGATGATTCTTACCTCTACCCCCAGTAAATCTCACAACCTTGCCCAAACCAACTCCCCCACCCCACAAAATTTAGTTGATTTTGGAGTCAAATTTTGACTCTAAAGTCAACTAAATTTTGTGTGGTGTAATTGGAGGAGGTGGGGGTCAGTTTGAGTCAGGCCAGAATAAAGGATATGAATCATCAACTTTTTCAAATGGAGCACCATATGTGTTCGAGTCATCATATGACATTGAGGTCCAATGTCACTTAAACGAAGATGATTTAAAAATTAGATTTAAATAGAGTAAGTATATGGTACAACCGGTTGTACCTAGAGATATGTACATCCGGGTAGTACTCATTATTCTGAATTAAAGTATTACTCATTCTCGCACAAACATAATGGTTTATTTGAAATAGCGTGGTACTCATTCTGAAATTACTCATTTTGAAATACGTAGTACTCATTTGCACACATTTGTACAATATTCATTTATGAATAATGTAATACTCATTCTAAAACCTAGTAGTACTCATTCTGAAATAATATAGTGCTCATTCTTAAATAACATACCATTCATAAAAATCCAAAATCTTACTAAAGACCAAATTGGAATTAGAACATTTGGAATTAGAGCTTTGCCTACCAAATCTGGAATCGCGGATCTGGAGAGCCTTCTTAGCCGATCGATTTCCGCAACTCTCCTTCAAACGCAGCTCCCTTCCTCCGACCCGACCCGATTAGGGGCATCTTTTTCTCCTCCGATCGACGCCTTTTCTTCTTGATTTACCGGTTATACCCAATTTTGGGTACAGCCGGTTGTATGGTACGGAGTATAATTTGCGATTTAAATATGAGTATATGACCATTTGTTTAACAACTTTGTTTGACGGCTTATTTTTGTTTTAGTGTGTTGTCGGGTATATGTTTACAAAATATACTTGGTACTTTATATTATTTTTATTTGAAAACACCACACTTCATGACACATTTATTTTAAATGTAATAGCATGACCCAATCTTTTTACGAGATTTATTGATAAAACTAATGGTTCTTATCCCATGCACCCCTAACCTCATTCCTTCGTTGATTGACTTCAACACTGTAGCCAATCATCAAATATGAAGGGGTGTGGGGATGGGGGGTGGGAGTTAAGGAAATCATCAATTTTACCAACGGAGTTCTGTATGAGGTTCGGATTATCCTATAACATTGCGCTAAATGTCACAAGAATCGTCAAAGTTCAAAAAACTAGGAGTAATTTTTCAAGATGGTTTTTATAATTAGGAGTTTTTTAAATAAATTCTTAATAAGCCATAATTACCTACATAATACTTTATAATTAAGATATTTTTCTTCAATTCAATAGTCTTCAGTAAATTATAATTACTTAAATGATGCTTTATAAATGTAAATTTTTCCTCGGTAGTCCTCGACAATTGGTATGATACTCCCTCTGTCTCTAAAAGATTGTCACAAACTGTTGCATCCTTTGACTACTAATTAAAAATAGTTTAAAATAATTAAATATTATAAAAATTTGATATTTCAAAAACATATTTTTAAATAAATTCAATTTTACTAAATTTACATTATAATTAAATATACTTTTTCATCATTCACGATCAAAGGTGCCACAGTTTGACTAGAAAAGTCAAACAATGACAATCTTTTAGGGGCGAAAGAAGTATTATAATTATAAACTCAAATGGATAATTTGGAATAATATATAACTAGAAAAGGTCATTTCAGGATCTTACTCATATTTTAGATGATGAAAACTATTAGAATACACTTCACTCAATAATGATTTGATTGACATTTTTGTCTCTTGAAGGAATTAAAATCAATTACTCCGTATATATTATATAGAGTACACAATGATTATTTTGACCTTGAAATTCAAGGTCATATTATGACACGCGATCTCTATGGTGCTCTATTGGTAAAATTAAATTAATAGTTCCTAATCCTTCCTAAACCCCATGTCCCCCTCTTGCACCCCACTTCAGCGCTCCGCTAGATCGCTGATTTGGCACTGCCAAATTGGCGATCTATTGGGATATGGGGTGTTGTGGTGGGATGTAGGGGGTAGGATGAGATGTTTAGGAAGTGATTAAGAGAGTAATAATTATCAATTTTAACAATAGAATATTATTTGGAGTAAGGTCATTTTAATGTCTCTCGAGGCTAAGATCACAAGATCTTTGTCGTTTGGGAATAACGTTAGAGATTAGGCTTGACGTTTTTAAAAGATTATTTGCGAGCAACGTTTAATATTATCATGTTCAATATAATCTACACCGTTATAATTTTATTCAAAATGCTAGCATTCCTAAAGCCATTCCTAAACAACCCCATAGTATCATAATGATATACGTAGTAATAATTAATGATTTATGTTTTTTGTGCAAAACCAAACTCAACCACATATCACGCAACCCCAATTTCCATTCCGTTTGGAACCCCAACGAATCAACGATAGAAACCGTACCCACCATTGCTTCATGGTCGCGAGCTTCATGGCTGGGGATTCGAGTTCATGGTCGCGAGCTTTGACGCAGATCTCTCCCTACACCTTTTCCGCGATCGGAATTGCCATCTCCATCGGCGTTTCAGTTTTAGGAGCTGCTTGGTAAGCATCATCTTCTTCTCGCCCTTTTGTGATTCACTAGGATGTCGATTTCTGGACGCTGGCCCCTTTCAAACTTCCTTATTGAATTATGAATTTCCAATTTAGGGGGATCTATATTACTGGAAGTAGTTTGATTGGTGCTGCCATTAAAGCTCCGCGCATTACCTCCAAAAATCTCATCAGGTAAATGTCTCTCCTTTTCTGTTTCAATGTATGCATTGTGTTTCCTCTTGTTAGAAGGTTCAGTTTGAAAGGGTTTGATGTTATAGTAGAAGTACCTGGTGATATCCCCTTGTACACTACACTAGTAGTTAGCTAATGATTGAATTAATTCACCTTCATGAGTTCCTCAAAAAACAAAACAAAAAAGTTCACCTTCATGAGCACGGGAAACTGCGAATTCACATTTGAAAGCATTGTGTCCGATACAGATGGAATATCACAACGCTTAAAACTTTTCGGGAAAAAAGAGTATGTTGGGAACCAATTAGGTGAAGGTGCCCTGCCTTATGTAAGAGACAGATCCAATGATCCATGTAGATGAAAGTCGAAAGAACAAATTTCATACCTTGAATTGAAATGGATTATTCATATAGATAATCATTAGCATGATGATCACAGTCAATTGTGTTTTATTTTTTGCTCTGTTTTTTAATCTTTGTCTCATTTTGGCCAGCGATCTTTGTTCCTTATGGTCTTAATGGCAGTATATTTTTGTTCATAGAAAAGTAGAAAAATTGTCTGAGCACATGTGAACTACAAGAAAAATTTCTTTGAAGGAATACTTTTTTGATTAACTTTGGTATGCAACCGAAGTTTAATGCTTCATTCTTTGAATCATGAAAGTGTTGTTTTATGTCTCGGTTGCATTGCTATTTGCAAAAGGGTCGATAATATATTTTTTTAAGAAAAAAGAGACAAAGTTCATGACTAGAAGAAAGCAAGAAGCTATCGAGCTTCCTGTTCATAGGTTGTTTCAACACAAACTCAGTTAATTCCCACAAAAGTTGGCTTTGGGGAGGGTGTGTATGCAGACTTTATTCCTACTCTCGAGTACAGAGACTTTTATTTGTTGTATATGTATAATTTTTTTATTCACTATATTTTTCTTGTTACAATAGTAATGCTTGAAAATTGTTATATTCTGAGGTAAGCAAGTGGCGTTAGTAGGCCGCCACCCGCTTGATTGAAGTTTAGAGCTTGTATGGAAGGCTAAAACTGATTTCCAGCATAGCTTGAGTAGTTGATTATTTCTTCAAATTGGACTAAAGATTTCCATCACAATGCCATTCGAGCTGAAAGAGTCATTTTTGTAAAATACTTAGCTTCGTGTAATTAATGGAGTGACAGAATGGACTAAATGATAATGACTCATTAACTTTTGTTGCATCTAATTTCTATGAAGTTTTGGGTAGAGTAATTGCAACAGTGTCTCAAGGGTCTAACGGGAACAACCTTTCTGTTATGGTTTAAGGCTGCGTACATATTGACCCCTTACCCCAACAAATTTGGGATTATACTTGGATTGTTGTTATAAATACTTATTAAGGAAAGTTTAATTAATAAACTTTTAAAATTTCCCATGGGATTGCAAACCATAATATCTGATATAATTTTTTCCCCTTTTCCAGTGTAATTTTTTGTGAGGCAGTTGCTATATACGGTGTCATTGTGGCTATCATTCTCCAAACAAAGCTTGAGAATGTTCCTGCATCCCAGATCTATGCACCAGAATCCCTCACAGCTGGTTATGCAATTTTCGCCTCAGGGATAATAGTTGGCTTTGCCAATCTTGTGTGCGGGTAGGCCTGAATGTGTTTTTCTTCTTTTCATCTACTCCCTCCATTTACAAAAATAATTTCTATTTGGTTTTTAAGTACAAAAACCATCTTTTTTAAAATGATTGATTTACAAATTGGTATTGAAATAAGAAATTAAACTTACATGTTTAAAAACTACTAAAAAAATCTCTTGTTTTTGTATACAAAAATTGGTAAGGAATTAAAAAATAATTTTTTATTTTTAAAAACTACATCAAAAGTGCTACAAAACAAGAGGTGACAAGGCTATATTATTTTCTCAAATGGGTCGCAAAAATGGGTCAAGAACGTGATTAAAGTTTTACCCAGTAAATAGTAAATAGTAAACATGCAACTTAAATGGGGACGTAAGGAGAACAAAACAAGTGCAGACAAGAATATTTCATTTTATCAAATGACTAATGAAAAAACGCACTGAAACAAATGTCATCGAGATGCCTTGTTTCATTTTTTTCCTACATTTATTCATTCATTCTATTTATTGTCTTTCCTTGTTGTGTGACAAAGGTTGTGTGTTGGAGTGATTGGGAGCAGTTGTGCTTTATCAGATGCCCAAAACTCTACCCTTTTTGTTAAGATTCTGGTGATTGAGATTTTCGGCAGCGCATTGGGACTCTTTGGTGTTATTGTGGGAATAATTATGTCAGCTCAAGCATCTTGGCCATCCAAGGTATAGAGTGAGATCTACTTTAAGGAGGCGTTATAATAGCGTTTTGTTTTCCCCCGTATCTTCTTGTCATGTGTTCTGTATCATAGTTGTCTCACGTAATTTCAGAATCTTTAATTTACACTTTTGAAATTTACAAGAATATGTGTTGTGTTAATAATGTACTCTGTTGAAATTTCAAGTTATTAAATTTGTTGTAGTCAAAGGTTTGATGCTCAAATAATTTAACAGAGTTGCAAAATTTGGTTTGCAAAAAAGCATTTTCCATCTAAATTTTAGTTGTTCTGAAGCTCAATCTATCTAGCCTTTTATGCTTTTCATTGTCATTGTGCACTTCTTTCCATTCAGGTGGTGATACTCCATTGTATTGATGAGTGATGTCAAACTTGGTGGGTTTTCTAGCATTTTTGGAAAGAAAAAAAAACATTGTGTTTACAAACTTGAAAAGTTTATTTATTTCTGAAAAAAAATCAGAGAATAGACAACTTGTTTACAATTTACGGAGTACTTTGTATGTTTTTCGAATTTCAAAAAATAGAAAATTATTTTCTAATATTCAATACTAGTATCACACCCGTGCATTGCACGTGTCATATTTACGTTACTAAATTAAGATCATTTTTCAATGCTAGAAAATGATATCTAATAGAATATAGACATTGCATTATATTATTTTAAGGTACAAAACATTTGTGTTTTATAAATTTCGAAAGACTTCTTTATAAACAACATTATTCGTACAATTTGTGGAAACATTGTCTTCGTTGCATATCAGAATCTTCAACCTACTACGATTTGTTACTCTTAAAACTGCAATATACAATTATCCATGACTAAATACCGGTTTCCGTAACAATAATCCAACATGTGTTCAGTGGTTACCTCTAACTCTTGTTAATCGTCATTGCGTACGGAGTAACCACACAAAAATTGTCTTCTTCGAAACTTGAATAGAATTCTTGTATCGGATGATGTCAATGATAGTCCTAGAATAACGACTTTGCACCCATGTGACTTCCAGATAACCACATGGATTAATGTATACGTATTTAAGATTCTTATTAATGAAAGAGCTAACTTCTAAGTCGTGAAAAATATAATCCAATAATTCGCCCCCCCTAGCATGGACAAAAATATGATAAACTCTTATCGCTCTCAGTTTTAACATAAAAATGATGACCTCTCATCAATATTTCTTACGGCGGTTTAGATCCTCATGTTTTGTTCGAATGACGATTTTGAAAATGCACAGATTTGAAAATGAACTCGAAAGAAACTAATTACGAAAGTCTTTGCGAATAATCATATTTAAACTATGAAAAGTTTTTTGCTTATTCTATTTTTTTTTAGAATTTTTATTTTTAAAATTACAATGTAAATTTTCGACCAAATTACACGTTGCTGTTACTTACCATTTCAACGTTCGTGTTTCAACTTAAATTTTTAATTACTAATACTACCTCCATCCCAGAGTATTTGTCCACTTTCATTTTTACACACCATCCAATGCACTTCTTTAATTCATTTTATCTTGTAATTTTTATATTAAAAAATTATAGAAATTATATATTAATAATCTATATGTAAAGACAAATCAAACAAGATCACACATGACTATATTTAGGCTTACACATTGAGAGAATTTGATGAGTCAAAGTACTTAAATGAACAGTTCCAAAAGTCAAAAGTGGACGAATATAGCAGGACGGAGGGAATATGTATTTATTATTCTTTCTTACCAAATCCTGTATAAGGAAATGACTTTATTTAAAAGTTAAAATACCTATAAAGTATAAATGAAAACATAACTGTAATTTTAATTTTTATACTTTAAGGTATGATAATATATTTTTGTTCAAGAAAACGCTTTCCTGGGGTACTCGTGTCAATCCTATTCAACTCCTGGAACTCTTTAAAGTTCAAATTTTAGCAAGGCTGTCAGCCACAAAAATATACCTCCGACAGGAATTTTTGAAATCAATCCTAGTAAACTCTCTCATCCATGATTAAACATAATTCTAATGCTCTCCATTAAAAAAAAGAAGTTAACTTGTAAATTGTAATGTTCTTACCGACATAGAATCGGGCCGGCTAAGAAATGGGCTCAACATTCACATCCGGTCTGAAGCCCCAGGAGCATCCCATTCCAGATTGATTCCCCCCTCCCTCCATCGGCTTGGGAGTTTTTTGCTGTTCGACGATCGATTCGCCGTTCTTCCCCATCCGACCTGGTATTTTACTTTCTACGATCCGAACATCAATCTCTTCTTTTTCTATTATCCTTAGCTCAAACCTTTAGCCTTGTCGAACTGTATTCGAAATCCATAAATTGATTCCTTGTTTCAATTATCCAGATATGAAAACCTTTTTAGCCCTTTCTTCTGGGAGATGTATACCTAACACTACCTACTCTTCAGATCTTATGTTCACGTTTCAGATCAACAGTTTGCTTTCTTGCAATTTTGTGCTACAATTCCCCAATTAAATTTTGTTTTTTAAGCATGACAGAACGATTCGCCTATATATTGTGTGAGTATTAAAGAGTATTTATTACGGAGAATCTGCTTTTTTCTCAGTTTTTTTTTTTAAATTTCAAGATTGCTCTAGCCGAAAGGAAAAAAACATGCAGGGATGAAGGATTGCTGGGGAGAAAATACGGTTATTTTGGTTTAATTTTTATTGAGTGCAAGCAAGAGATGATTGGACCCGTCTATTCTCTTGGTGGTAGTACATTTTTTTGAAAAGATTGTCTTATTTTAAATATTTCCGGAACTAGAAAACATATTTCATTATTAAGGAGTACTATATTTACTGGTTTGATTTGAAAACACCTAAGGGAGCATTTAGTTTGGATTCAATTTCTGGCCGTTCCTTAAGAATCAACTGTTTAATTCTTTTGCTGATTTTATGGATAGAATAGATAGATATACAGTTTTTCGAATTTGCAATCCAAACCTTACTGGGTGGTTTTTGGCTTACAGAAGTTTTAATCATTATTTGCGTAAAAGAACTATGCCTCCAAAAGCAAAAAAGCCGCTAGCTGGTCCCGGAATGAAGAGAAAGTCTTGTGTCACTCGGGCTGCATCCAGAGTCCAGCCACAACCGCCTGGCAAACTTTTGAAGGCAGACCAAGCTAGAGAGACTGAGAAAACAACAGTGGAGCTTAAAGAGGTGGTGAATATTGAAGAAAACACTCAGCCCATTGTGCATAAGTCATTGCCTCTTGGTACTGATGAAGATCCCAAGGAGGAACAAAACTATGAGGCATGCAGGTCCCTCTCTAATAAGAGTAAGCGATATTCTGTATAATTTAGTTGTGATTTACGATTTAGATCACTTTATGCTGAATCCTGCGTTTGAACTATTTCTGTGGGTGTCATCTTTTGGGTAATTGAGGTATTTGTTTCATTTAGTTTCATTAATTTGGTGAAAGCTGAGGTCTGTGTTTGATTTTTGCATGTTTACTTGATATATTTCAAACAGCACAACTTTGTGTGCCCGACTTCACTTTTCAGATTTGGATGTGGAATTGTTATTTAAAGCCCAAACCTTTTCCGTGGTAGTTTCTGTTCACTTTTGCCAATGGGTTGTTCCAGACTTGATAAATTTATGTTATTATGATTTTACAGTTCCCTGAATAATATAACCACCATATGGATAGAAAAATAAAATACATCCTAACATGTCATATACTGTCGTATGAGCCACTCTTGGTAGATATGCAGAATATGCTGTATGCTTAAGTCTTACATCGATACCATAGTTGCTGTCCTTGAAACTCATAGTCAAGCATGGTTGCGACCTTTAGCTCATGTTGGAGTGTTTGTTTAGATAAAAAGCCTTTTAGAGTGCAAAAGGTGGCTAAGCATGTAATCATCTTGTCACTATGGATTTGTTTATTTCAATCTGTTGACTGTCCTGGATGCATATATTTTTTCCATGGCAGAGGAGTTTGAACAAAAGGAGTCGGTTGATGAATATGAGAAAGGTGAAAAGTTAGATTTGGAGGACAATGATCCTGAATATGAAACTGAAGAAAATGTTGGTGTTGATTATGAAGAAAGGGGAAGTGAACATGATGACGATTTAGAAGAGGGTGATGAGATGGAAGATAATGAGGAGGAATATGTTTGTGATGAGGAGGAAGGTGATATTGTTGAGGAGGAGGTTGAAGATGTAAATGAGGACCTTGAGGGAGCGGAAGATGAAGAACAAGACGGTGAGGAACACGCTGAAATGGTTGATGCAGCTGAGGAGGAAGAACATCATGAAGTGGTCAAAGAAAGACGCAAACGTAAGGAGTTTGAAATTTTTATTGGTGGCTTGGACAAGGGTGCTACCGAAGATGATCTTAGAAAGGTCTTTAGTCAAGTTGGTGAGATTACCGAAGTGAGGCTTATGATGAACTCTCAGACCAAGAAGAATAAGGGATTTGCTTTTCTGCAATTTGCAACAGTAGAACAAGCCAAGCGTGCTTGTACAGAGCTAAAAAATCCACTGGTATTCTCCTGATTCTGTTGTTCTTGAGGTAATTGATTTGAAGTTTTTATGAAGAATATTGTCCTGACACCCAAAGTTCTAGGTTAATGGAAAAGAGTGTGGTGTAACTCCAAGTCAAGACAGTGACACACTCTTTCTAGGTAACATATGCAAAACATGGACAAAGGAAGCTGTAAGTCAATTAGGTCAATTCATATTGTTATCATCAAGAATAATTTTCACACCATTGCTTAACAACTATTACTTTCATATGCACTTTGCCCCTCCAGTTGAATGAAAAGTTGAAGCTCTATGGCATTGAGAACATTGATGATTTGACATTAGTGGAGGACTCAAATAACGTAGGAACAAATCGAGGTTTTGCGTTCCTGGAATTCTCTTCTCGTTCAGATGCCATGGATGCTTTTAAACGTCTTCAGAAGAGAAATGTTTTTTTTGGACTTGACATGCCTGCCAAGGTTTCCTTTGCAGATTCATTCATTGACCCGGGTGATGAAATTATGGCTAAGGTAACTACTTATCGCCTACACTTTTGACTTCATAGAAGGCGGAGTTGTTCCCTTTCTAGTTGGGACATTTCTTTTCAAGGACTATATGCCCAGCATGGTATGTGCGGCATGCAGCTGCTGAAGGAAATGCAGGAAGACATTTAATGTATATTTAAAGTTCAAGTTTGCAAAAATGACAATTAAGGAGAATGAATGTGGGTATTATAGTGGACATTATGTTCTAGCTATAGCTACCCTTTTTATTCCCCTCTAACAGTGGTCTGCATTGCATTCCTTCTCTCTTACTCTGTGTATTTTGGATACTTTTTGTTTTTTTTTGTTGTGATTTTTCTTTAAATTTATGATTTATGGTTAATCTACCTACTGATAATATTTTATCCAGGTCAAAACGGTCTTTATAGATGGTCTCTCATCCCATTGGGATGAGGCCAACATGTCTGAACTTCTCAAAAAATACGGAAAGATAGAAAAGATTGAGCTTGCTCGTAACATGCCATCTGCCAAGAGAAAGGATTTTGGTTTTGTCACATTTGATTCACATGATGCTGCAGTTACTTGTGCTAAATCCATTAATAACTCGGTGCTAGGAGAAGGAGATAGTAAGGTTTGTTTTCTGACTCTTTAGTATATCTTGCATTTTTCCTATACCAAACCAATTTTTCTTCCTCTTAAATGGCTCACCCCCCCTTTCAGGTTAAGGTTCGAGCTAGATTATCAAGGCCCCTTTACAGAGGCAGGGGTGATTCACACGGAGATATGAGGCCTCGCCACAGGCCAGCACGAGTGCCTAGGGCCCCATGGGGGCGCTCATTGCCACATAATCTCCCCATTCATGGACGAAGAGTTGGTCCACGTAGGCCACCTTTGGTTGATCGCAGCATTAAACGATCCACTGGTTACAGAGATAGAAGAGCAGCCATTGCTGTCCCACCCAGGAGCAGGCCTGTTGCACCTCCGCCAAGCAGGCCGTATGAGAGGAGACCGCCTGGTTGGTATACTTTTATGCTGTGTTTACTATTGCACCAATCATGTTGTACATTAACTTTAATTTGTATCATTCAGGTCATGCATATCCAAGAAGTAGTTCTAAGAGAGAGTATGGTAGCAGAGCCACAATGGATTATGCTCCCAGAGTACCTTCTGACAGACGCTCATCCTATAGAGATGAATATGATCCCCATGGATCTGGCTATCCTGATTTTCCAGGAGGAGCATCCAGGAGTGCATTAAGGAGAGCATATGTTGATGATGACTACGAGCAGAGGTTTGAAAGACTACCTCCAGTGTACCGTGACAGCCGTGCTCGGGAATATGACTCTATATCTGGCTCAAAACGTGCATATGCTGCAATGGTTTGATTTTAATATTTCCTGTTTGATTTTAATATTTCCTTCTACTGATCCTCAAAACATGCAGACCTAAATATTATGGAGTATTGGGTAAATTAATGTGGTTATGATGTCCCAAGATTTAGACAAACCAATATTCATATCACTGACCTCAGATTGTCACCTAGAATAGCCCCTACCGTCACTTTCCATTAAGATCAAATTGTTCTTTTGTCCTGAGATTTGATAATCTGCTTTTCTTGCCTTATTGGGTTTGGAGTCATTTGAATGCTTTTATGTGTTTGTTAGTCTCGCTCAACTGCCCAATTGATGTAAACTAACTCATTTCATTAATGTCCATAATATGAACATGATTGGTTCATCCTGTTTGAACATTGGCTCGCATGTTAGCCCCTTTTTATTCAACCTTTAAAATGTTAAACTTATTTTCATTTGAGTTCTACATATTTTGTAGTAAAAACATGTTAACTTTTAAATTCTCTTTATTACAATTATTATTGTTATTATAATACAGAGTAATAATTATCATTATAATGCATTGTATGATATAATTGTCTTCTCTTAGCCTATTACCACTATTCTTTTACTTGTGGGAATCCACTGTATAGGTCATTTCTGTTGTTGAAAAAGAACTGATTTTTATTCTAATATGGACTAGCAGGATGATGTTCCTCCTCGATATGTTGAGGCAGGAGTTCGCCGTTCTCGTGCACATTTAGATTATGAATATGGAGGACGCAGTGCTTCTCAATACGGGGGTTCCTATGGTGACAGGTGTGTCTTTTTACACACACATATCTATGTGTTTGTGTATTTGTGTATGCATGTACACACACAAAGATATAATCAAGCAGATAAAACTTTTGTTTTTTGTACCGTGCTTGATAATCTTGTATCACACTGTAACAGACCTGGAAGGCCTCCTATTGGATATGGCGGAAGCAGAAGTTCTATGTCTCATCAAGATTCTCATGGACTTTATAGTAGTCGCCATGGCATGGGTTATGACAGAGGTGTGTTGAGAACTTGTTGGATATTAGTTGATCAAATAGCATTTTTTTGCTCTTGGTTTATTTCGAATAATAATTCTTTTGTCAGGTTCTTATGGTGGTAGTGCGGTTGGTGGAATGTATGCTTCGGGCAATGGTGGTGATTACATGTCTCACGGCAGTGATGTATGCTTCTATTTCATCGTCCTCCAAGCTTATTAGTGCCTCCTTCTAAAAAAGAGTCATGTTTGATTATGATAGTTTTTTTTGTCAAGTTATGGATGGCAACTTAATACCCCTACTTTTCCCCAAAATTCTTTGGAGATGTGAAATTACAAATTATTAATAAAATTTGACTAAAAAATTTACTTTTTTGTGTGGTTCAAAAAGGTTATAAAACTCCACTCTTTGTTTTGGCAGATAAAGTATTTCTTTAGATATTGATATCTTGACTGATGGCTCATTTTTTCTCCTGCTTAAATTAGGTGGGTGGCAGCTCTTATTCGTCACTCTATTCTAGTCGTGATCTGGGTGGAGGTGGCTATATGGGCGGCGGTGGTTCTAGATCTTATTACTGAGGTGAGTAATACTTTGTAGTCTACGCTATTTTCATTAAACTGCTTAGGTAGTGGCATATGTTATGAACAGGTAGACTTCCTTCCTACCTTTCTCACCCTCTTCATCCCCACCTTCCCCACAAATGTTTCACAAATGAGCCTATGCATCTCCCCTTTTAGCGAAGCAAGCTCTTATGGAAATCTGGTTTCTAGAAGTCATATACTCTGTTTCTTCCTCCTGAGAACCATCGTTGAGGAATGGAATTAGCAGTTTGGTCACATGCCAATTTGTTCCCCATACAGATTTTGAATGGACAAAGAGGCTGCATGGAATGCACTACGCGCTTGAAAGCCAGGCCATTTTGGATTGGGATGATGTCAAGCAAGTAAAAAGCCTCTATAACTGCAGTTTGATGACAAGATATGTTGTATAAGGAGATTTGGAGTTCTAGTGTGTTAAGATTTGGAGGGCTCGTAATTTTATGCTTTTAGGAAACTTGAGATTTATTAGACTTACACTGCTGAACATCCAGCTTTTATAGTTAATTTTCCTTTTAAGTACCTTTTGGAACCCATGTAAGAGCTTGTTTGAATAAATGGAACAGTATTGAAGTTGCAAGTTTATCTTATCCTGTGCTTAAGTCCTTGTGAACTAAGGAAGACTATTGGAAGGGGAAATTGCTAAAGTCGCCCTTCACCATGGCCTTCCTATAGACATTCACTAACATTGAACAACGGGTGTCTATGGATGTCTTTGAGAAGGTTGGGTGCCCCTAGCATGGTCCATTGGAAGAATTGTGAATCCCATGCATCCATCGTGTTTCTTGACATTAATGGGTTCCAAGAACAAGGTATTGAACAGGAACGCAAAAGAAGCTCTCACGGGAAGGTGTAGTCTGCTATGAAATATGGATTTACAGGGACTTCTGGAGTGTGATGGGCTATGATCTCTTCTAAATGTGGAAGTACACACACACACACACACACACATATACTTGCTAAACCTGGAGTTCAAGAGAGGTTCATTGAATACTTGTCTCAGTTTTATTCAACTGGTTTTGGTTTTATCAAGCCGGTAAGGTCTGCGTACTACCCTCGCCAGATCCTACTTTTTGTGAGATTTCACTGCGTTTGTTGTTGGGCTAGAGCTCCTATCTCCCTAATATTGTGCTTCTTCTTTGAAAATATGTGTATGAATACATCTAAGTTGCTGCTCATATGTGAAGGAGGTGAACACAACCCCAACCTGCAGATATTCCTCTCCTTTGTAGTTGGTTCTTTAGGATGTTGGCTTTTTCTAGTTGGTTCTTTAAGGTTCGGTCGGTTTTTTTTAACACATTAACCTCGAGCCAAACTACATATGGAAATGTAGGTTTCGGCAGGTTCAGTTTGTGGGTAGGTGTCAGTTCTTGGAGTTATAGCACCATAAGCAATGAATTGAAGCAATGATAGGTATTGCTTTTAGTGTATGGGGTTTAATTCCCATTTAAGTTTAGCAATAAGCAAGATGGATGAACATGTAGATAGTTGTTTTTACCTATTAGGGATTTTCTTATAAATAGAAAAAAGGTCTTAATTACTAAACACCAAAAATTTATATAAAAGTGCAAACATGTTCAAATTTATATAAAAAGTGTTTTTCAATTTTCTTCATAGGAATTGAGAAATTTTTCAACCCCTCATAAAGGTTTTTATTTATAGTATTAGTGCATACCAGTTTTCTTAATACTGATTTTTTGTTGGTTTTTCTAGTTTAAGTATTTACTGTTTTTTTAAAAAATAATAACGGGGTAATTTCTTAGCACTATATGCCTTCTTCCATGTTTTATTGACATTTTAAAAGATGACAGTAACAATTTGTCTACTCTTGTGTACTAGGATGAGGTTTGTACTTTTTCTTTTTGTATTAGATCTAACGTTTTATCGATAGCTGCATCAAGAATATTTATGCAGAAGCCCTTGTGGGTTTGAAAACTTGCACACGAGTATGATATTTACCTGAAATTATGATCCGGGCTCTTCGTGATCTTGGTCAACTTAATTGATCGCGCGAATATTTCCAAGCTTCTCTCATTCCCATCTTACCCTTTTGATTCATTGAGAATTACATGTTTTTGTTGTTATTGTTATTGTTTTTTACCCATTAGGACAGGCATGACATTTTTGTTGTATGGATTGTGTTATGATCAAGTTTGGTGTGCACCTTTTTTGGTATATAAATATGTTAATACATTGTTATGTGTGATTTGTAATGCATGAATTGGTATATTTAGTTGATTTAATTATTTATTTAGCTGAAATGTTTATTTACATATACTCGTTCGGTCTTATATAAATCTTTACTTTATTTTTGTCTATCTAAAAGAAATTTATAAAGAGAAATTATGTGCCTCCTATGTTATATACAGAGTGCTACTCATAAAAAAATGTATTCTTTTTGTGTTTTACGCATCTCGAATTTAGTTGCCAGATTGTTATTCTTTTTGCAAATTTACTTATACGAGGACAACACGGAAAATATGACTGTATTATTTTATCATGACTAATAAAAATAAAGAAAGAAAATGAATAAAGAGTGACGGAGTGAACAATAAATAGAAAAATAGTTTTAGGATTGGGACAGTACGTACTAGGGAGTATTATCCTGCAGTTTATCTTGTTTTTTTTTCAAATGGTATGGAACGGTCCGTGGCATAAGCTTATCCCACTTTGTTCTTTAATATTTGGGATCGGGATAAAACGGAACATGTCTGGATGTCTTACTTTGTTATTATCAGAAATTAGATATAAAAATATAAAATACATAAGGGGGAGGCAACCAACTTTGACTTCCAAAGTAATAAAAAATGATATGTTTATTTAGAATCTTTTTTTAAAAGCCAAAGCATTAATGGAACATGAAAAAAATATTACAACATTCGTTACAAGTTAAGACTATAAGCTTCATAAATACTACGAGCCACGAATTAGGTTGGTCCGCCTGAACTTTTAGGTGTTCCAATCCCAGACCATTTTTTGTGATACTTTTTTTCTGTTGTATCATTATATAAATAAATAGATATATACATGTATATGGGACAATGAGACAGAACGATAAAATATTTATGTATCCCGGTCATGTCTTGTTTTAAAACGCTTTGGAACAGGTTTTGAATAATATTTTGCCATCCCTAACAAAACGGAACATTATAGGGATGAGACTGAGATCTTTCGAGTTGGGACAACGATTTCGGGATTCTTGCCCACTCCCACCCCTAGTACGTACTCTATATATGGAAAGTTTTCCTTCATATACAATTTCAGGTAGATTTTTGCTTGATATGTAACGAGAATGAGTAGAAAGTGATAGGAGATCAATCTTTATGTAGGAAAAGTATGAACATGCTAGTCACAAAGAAAACATTACAAAATGCTTAAATTTGCCAAAGATATAAAAATTTAAGTACATGAATGATAAGTTTGTACACTTTTGTGGTTGTTTTATTTGTGATTCTAGCATTTTTTAAAAAGTATACTCTCACGGGAGGGACATGTAATTGAATCGAGCTGAGAGGTTGTCAAATAAAAAAAAGATTTTTAAACGATTAATAAATTACGAGTATATTTAAATTGAACCGTTTTTTATAGAATGGTACTACTTCCGTGCCAGTGTGGAGAAATGGAAAAGGACTATATTATTTTATCAAATGACTAATAAAAATAAGAAGAAAAGTGAATAAAATTTGACCCTGTGAATAGTAAACAGACAATTTAATTTAGGACGAGGAGAGTATATTGGTATAAAATTATTTCATTATATTTAACTTGTTGACAACTTTCAAGATTTTATTTTATTGCATTAATGTGTGGTGGAAATTGAGAGAAATTGATAATTACAGTTTGTCTTATTTGATTTTATAAAAAGTCAAACTGAACTCAAAAATTGAAAAAAAGAAAATCACCTACATTTTATAGAATTGGAAAATATCAAATGATTCTAAAAATTTCTAATCTAAATTCATATAAAATTGTAATGAATGAGTTCTCAAAATTTTGAGCATATTTTATTCTTAGTTCTTTGGAGTGAATTTAAAATATATGATTTTAATTTTAGTCTCTTAAATTGTTTCATTGCCATTAAACTTATAATTTTTAACAAAAAACATTTTACAATAATAACTTCTCAAAAAAATATGACTAGACAAAGCATTTGTTGTGTAAGGATACATAAAAATATTTTTACATTAATCATTTAAAAAAATTAATTGCTTTTTTAGAGTATAAATGCTATTAAACCATCAAAGCATTAAAATATGGTTTGATATTCTCATTTTGAAATGACATAGTTTTGAATGATTTTGACTGTAAAATCAAATCAGGATGAGCCATTTAAGGAGTGATAATAATTAAGATAGAGTTTCATGAAAATATTAAAATTCCTATGGATGACTATCCTAATATGAATGATAGCACACTTGAAAAAAATTACTCTTCCCCTGATTTCATTTGGTTGAGGTTAAAATACATCCGTTTAGACGGAAGTTCATTTTCTTACTCAATCTAATGCGTCATCAGGTCCGTCACGATGACAACTTCGTTGCGACGCCACTTAGCGTTGTAAATACAAGAGCGATGCTAAAATCAGAAATACTAGAAAACAAAGTATACAAATTCATTGTTGCATATTTTAATTTTAATTTTTTTAATTATTTAAAGATGCACAAATAATTAGATTTTGTACCTTATTCAAGAAATCACTCCAAATAAGAGTAAAACATAGAGAAAACGTTAAAATAAAAGTTTCATGTTTTTATTTTCTAAATAGGAGTTCACAGTGTGGTAATGTGGCACTGTACATATACATTTATTATAATTTTGGTAATGTATATGGTCTTGATTGGTAATGTAAATGTATTTTAATTTTTATTTAGAAAATAAAAATACAAAACTTCAATTTTGATATATTTTTAATGTTTTACTACTCCCTCTGTTCCTATTTTTTTTTCCACATTTCTAAATTTGAGGCAAAATATCAAGTCTTTTCAATTCTTTTTATTTAAATATTGGTATATAAATAAAAAATAAAATTTACATATTTAAAAAACTACATGAAAAGTTTTTCGAAATAAGAGGTGTCAAGAATATTTTATTTTATTAAATAAACAATGAAAATATATAAAATAAAATAAAAATTCTCGCGACTAATAAAAAAGCAAATATGACATTCTTTTAGAGACGAAGGAAGTACTATTTAATTGGAGAATGTTTTCCCATTTGATTATTGTATGGGACTAGCATTTGTCAGTTCCCATATCTTTTTCCCAATGAAGCTTCCCCTTCATCATAGCTGAACGCCCTGATCTACAAATTCTTGTTACTACTGCTCCTTGCTGCTACTCTTCTTACGATTCTTATCGCTGTTGTTGTTCTTATTAGTAAATCATGTAATTTATGTTTGCGGAAAATCAATCAGGGCTGTGATGATGATGAAATTCTGTATAGTTCATTAAAAGATTGGTCCGACCCGTATATTGGCGGGGCGACCTCCGGGTCTGCAGCCATGGAGGTATGGTCTTTCCCTCACTTTACTTTGCAGATCTGAGCCTAATTTACGCGATCAAGCCACAAATTCAAGAATGAGTTTGTAGAGAGATTTGGGTCCTTTTTCAAGAATGCTGTAGCAAAAGTGAAACCATTGCTGTTTTTGAGCCTCTTGTTTTCAGGCAAATTCTTGTATGGACCCTAATTTGAGCTTCAAATAGTTTTGGCACATACGTTGTTCAATTAGTAAAATTGATGGTTCCTACCCCTGCTCCGTTGTTAATAATAATGATATAGTAATAATAATAACAACAACGGTGGGGTTATAGTACCACCAGTCATTGTCAACTGGTCATTGCTCAAGTAAATGTCCATCACCACTGGACATTGTTCAAACTAAATGTCCACCATCACTAAATATTGTTCCCGCCACTAGACATTATACAAGTACTATTCAGGGAATAAAAATGTTTAAGTACTATATTGAAAAATGACATACTCCCTCCGTCCCCGAGTGTTTGTCCACTTTCATTTTTGCACACCATCCAATGCACTTCTTTAATCCATTTTATCTTGTAATTTGTATATTAAAAAATTATAAAAATTATATATTAATAATCTATATATTAAGACGAATCAAACAAGATCACACATGACTATTTTTAGACTTACACATTGAGAGAATTTGATGAGTCAAAGTGCTTAGATGAATAGTTCCAAAAGTCAAAAGTGGACAAACACTCAGGGACGGACCAAGTATGTTTTAGTACTCCGTACTATTTAGTGCAAATTTCACTTATTATTATTGCATTTCACCCGTTATGCACACGAAAAGCTGTTGGCATGTGTTATCTTTGTGCAAAGGCAGTGATGATAAAATATCTCGGGTTGAAACAGCAAGGAGAAACTGAACCGTATCTTGGCGAGGCAACCTCTAGGATTTGCAGCCATGGCGGTGTCTTAATCCTTTGCTTCATTATATGTATTGTTTGTCTGAGCCTGCACTCTATATGAACCTCTCTATGTATTCATCCATCTATATGTCTTTCTGATTGAAAAATAGGGGTTACCCTCTGAAAATGGTGAGCTGAATTTTCCGAAATTAAAAGCATTTGGTAAAATTGATTTCCATCCAAGTAAGTCAAATGGCGAGTTTATCTTCCTTTGCATCTTACTTCCTGTGACTTTTTGGGTGGTAAGTGCATCAATGCATCAAGATTGTGTACATCTTGACCCCAACATCATTGCCTCTTTGGGATTATCTGTTTGTGTGTGTATGGTTTATGTGTATGGTTACCGCAGGAGCATTGGAATGTCTCTATGCTCTTACTCTGCTCGTTCCACTGTGTATACTTTAATAGCATTATGACTATTGAAGCACACTCCAGAAGTCCCTGGGAAATCCATTTTTCCCAGCAGACTATACCCTCCACATACCATATACCTTTTGTGGGATTTTACTGGTTTTGTTGATGTGGAAACAGAATGTTGTTGATCCTGTTAAAATCTATAGGCTGGGATGACATATATGTTAAGTTGAATGAGCAAGGAAGAATTGAACCGTATCTTGGTGGGGCAGCCCTAGGGTTAGCAGCCATGGCGATGTCTTCATCCTTGCTCGATCATATTTTTTTGTCTGAGCCTGCTATGTAAACCTACATATCTATCAATCAATCTATCTGTCTATCTATATGTTTGTCCCTACGTTAAAGATACACCTGGAAGAGGCCGCAGTCGTATCCGAGTCCTTTGACCTCGTATCTGGTGAAAGATACACCTGGAAGAGTGTTTGTGTTTGATCTTGGAAACAACCTCTCTACTTTCAAAGAGGGGCAAGCCATACCCTGCTTTTTGTGAGATTTTACTGGGTTGTTGTTTGGTGTGTTTGTGCTAAATAGCCTTGGATTGTAAAGAGAACAAGTATGTAGGAGAGCATTTCTAGGGTTGTTGACCTTCGCATCAGGATGATCTCTTAAAATGCTCAACAACCCTTTATTACATGCTTCAACAACCCTTTTTATATCTATGGATATGATTCTTGATTATCATCCCATCCATAGAACCATGGTTGTTGTTGCTGGTGCATAGTCAGTCTATGATGATAATGAATTGTTCTATAGTTCCTTTGGTGTTGAGTGATTCGACCTGTGTCTTGGCGTGGCAGCCTAAGGTCAGCAGCCATGGTGATGCGGCATGTCCTTTACCCTATTTCATTGATCTGAGCCATGGTTCTGCAGTCAAGCCAATAATGTCTATTTGGACCCTGCGATGAAATGTTGATTATAACATCTACGGATTGGCTGTGATGATGGATATGTTGAGTTGATCGGGTAGAGGAATAAGTATGCTGTATCTTGGCGTGGCAACAACTGGTTTGCAGCCATGACAGCATCTTTGTCCTTGCTTGATTGTGATTGACTTCTGAGCCATTTGCGTAGACAGAAACCTTCCCCAGACCATACTCTTGTTGGATTTTACTAGTTTGTTGCTGTTCAAAGTCATGTCATTTCTATTCTAAAAGGTAAAACAATTTATATAAAAAAAAATACTTCTCCTCGCCAATTGTTTCCCTTTCTCTAGCAATTTTGTTATTCAAACATACCCTAATTTTCTTCTAATGGAATTATGAGCCAAATGCGTTGTTTGGTGAGAGTATGGGATGATTTGGGTGTTCTTTTGATGATACACTTTTAATGATTTCTTTCCATTTCCGCACATTCAACAGCCCTAAATATAAATTTTGCTTAGTATAAATTTCTAAAAATGAATTGTTGATTATAACATCTATGGATTAGCTGTGATGATGGATATGTTGAGTTGATTGGGTAAAGGAATAAGTATGCTGTATCTTGGCATGGCAACCACTGGTTTGCAGCCATGGCAACATCTTTGTCCTTGCTTGATTGTGATTGACTTCTGAGCCATTTGGGGAACTGGTGTGCGAGGAAGGCCGGCGGAAGAAGGAAGAAGATGAGGTAATAGAGGACTTCTTGGAATGATTTCTTTTACATCATGTTTGGTTTAAAGAACTTGGAAGGAAAAAAGAAAAAGAAAATAATTCTCTCATTTTCCTCACCGAAATGGGAGGAACATGGTTTTCCCTTCTCTTACACTATGTTTGGTTCAAGGAATTTGTAAGGAAAAGAAAAGAAAACGATTTTCCTTCAGTTTCCTCACCAAAATGAGCGGAATTTGGTTTTCCCTCATCTTAATACATTTTGTCTTTTCATTTTCTTTTTCTTCCACTTTTCTTGCCTTTTCCTCTCTAACCAAACAAGGAAATTGTTTTTCTTCTCATTTTCTTTTTCTTTCTCTCTCAAATTCCTTGAACCAAACATATTGTTAGTAAATTTTGCCTTCTCATTTTCTTTTATATTCACTTTTCATTCATTTACCTCTCTAACCAAACAAGAAAAATTATTTTTTCGCTTATTTTCTTTTATTTTTTTCCTTTCAAATTCTTTGAACCAAACATAGCTAAGGATTTTGAACTTGCTGTGATGTAAACTTTCTTTTTATGCTGACTATACTATTGGATATTCTTTAGCTTGTTGTGATGTGTATTTTGGTTATGTTTAATGCACTTTTGGGTATTCTCAAGATAATATGGGATTTGTGATTGATTCATGAGTATTTACTGCTCTTTTGAGCATTTTTGACTTGATAAAACATCTCTAGAATAAGACCTTGTTTTACTTATATAAATTGTATTGATACATGTTTGCCATTTGTGATAGTTTAAAAAATTTGATAAAATAAGTTGTAATTGTAAACTCTCCAAAGTTTTGAGGGTCCGTTTGGAAAGGAAGAAAATGACTTCTATTAGTTATTTTTCTCATTATCCAGTGTTTGTTAACTTAATAAAATGGGAGTAAATGGTTTGGTCAATGAAAAATGAGGTCTAAAATCTGGGAGTTATCTTTTGCTTTTGAGGTTTGGAAGAAAATTTGGTTTTACGCCTTCATCGCTCCTTTAATATCTATATATTTTACGGAATAATTTTATTTGAAATTTAAAAATCAAAATTAAAAAAAAAGTGTCCAAAAATTAGAAATTAAAAATTAGAATCCTCACTAAAATCAAGTGGAATAGAAGAGAGACTGCTATTATGTTTGACATTAGTTTCTAAGTTTAGTTTCAGCGTTCTAAAAGTTTTATTCAATTGCAATAGCATATATTATTATAATTTTTTACGTAAATCTGTGTTATATAAAAATTATCTAAAATATTACTCTAATGTTAATTATAAGGGGGCGGTTTGGGTGACATGAACCTTCCATGTCATCCTGTGACATGGCCCCCAATTAGGGTATCCACGATGCTCCGTTCAAAAAATTGATGGTTCATACCTCTCTTAACTCTCCAATAAACCCCCAACCCCTGGCTCGGTCTGAACATATCCACGCGCCCTTGTCAATTGCATGCCACAAGATTTAGTTAACTTTGAAGTCAAATTAATAAATCTTGTGGCAATTAACGGGGTGCGGTGCTATGTTCGAGTCGGGGCAGTGGTGAGGGTTAGAAGGATTAGAGAGGTAGGAACCATCAATCTCTGAACGAAGTATTGTATGAACTTTGAGTCATCTCATGACACTAAATCTCAATGTCATGAGAACTAAAGTCTAATTACAAATGATATTTCCAAATGGATAAAGCTATTTGTACCCCACATTTTTGTACCCCATTTTGTACCCTGCAGTTTTGCACCAACACTATGTGTTGGTGTAAAACTAATTTTTGTTAATGCAACAACACTTTGTGTATGTGTAAACTTTTGTTAATGCACCAACACTTGTGTCGGTGTAAACCATCAAAATGTTTGTGTATAACTACGGTGTACAAATGGAGTATAATTTTGGTGTAAATGTAGCATGACCCATTTCCAAATAAATCACAGCTATTAAGTCAACTTTCCATTTTCATCGATAAATCCGCCTCTTTTCCTTTTTCCTTTTAATATCTAACCCTATCCTAATTTTCAATAGACTGAGCAGATTCAGAGCAAAATAAATCCCTGAATCCCTCCTCCGAGCAAGATGCTGCTTCTGAACCACCCTACGGCGGCAGCCGCCGCCAATGCCGCACTCTTCCCCCGCCATCAGCGCAGCGATCTCTCTCCGGATCTGTCCCTTCCGCTGCGGTCCTTCCCATCCGGATCCGGACTTTCGAGCTCCCGTCTTCTCCCGCCGCTCACCACTTCCGGCAACCCCGTCTCTCGCTGCATCACGCGCGCATTCCCATGGAGTCCCCGCAAAAATGAAATCGTGGAGTACGAGAAGCGTCCGAAGGAGAAGTGGATTCGTTATTTCGAGAAACTGGCTGCTGTGCGGAATCCGGAGAAGGGCGTTGCTGCTGTGTTGAATGGTTATGAGAGTAAGGGCAAGAGGGTCAACACAATTTATCTTTTTCGTGCGGCCAGGATGTTGTGCAAGGCGAAGCTTTACAAGCACGCTCTTGAGGTGAAAAATCCTAAGGATTCCCTCAAATTTTGATTATTAAACTTCATTGTTACTCATTTTCTTATTTACTTTAATATTTTGTTACAATACCAAAGATTCGTTACAATTTATAATTTAATCTTATCATCTAATATAGAGTATGTTTCTATCTCTAAGTAAGAGTAAAGTGCGTTATGTGTAGAAATGACTAGTAGATTAAGTGGAGTAGTAAAGTGGAAGTTTAAATGGGTAGTGGGTTGATGGGGAAAAAAGTCGATTTGGTGTTATTTATTTTTCCAGATAAGGAAAGAGTAAGAAAGATATGGGAAGGCCAAAATAGAAAATTTGTAAGAAAGATATGAGACATATGAAGTGGTTTTTAGTTATGTAGATTTTATTTTTAAACTTGGCATTAACATTTCAATATATTTGAATTGAAAATAACTTTAGCTAAGCATTTTAAACCAAAATGCTAAGTTTATCAAAGGGTGGAGGAAGTATTGTTGTTATTGTTATTACTATTATTTCGACTTGTTATTTGATGTGGTTATTGATTCCCGGACTGTAGCTTAGAATGTTCTGAAGTTCTTGAAGTGTTATTTATCTGGGATTCGTTGAGCATATTGAGCTTTGTTTGCATTTTTCTCTCTTTGTGACAAGTATTACTTGTTTGGACATGGAATCAAACTAATTTTGGACTTTTGATTGTTCCATCACCTGCCTTTGTATTCATGTAATGCGATTGGCAATCAGTTGCTTTTTTTCTTGGGTGTTACTGTTCAGGTATATAGATGGATGGAAAGCAAACCACCAGACACGTACCCAGTAACCACAAAAGACAGAGCCTTTAAGTTAGACCTGATATACCAGGCGCATGGAGCTTCAAGCGCTGAAGATTACTTCATGTCACTGAAAGAATCTGTTAGGGACAGGCTGGTACATGGTGCACTTTTAAAAGTCTATGTCGATTGCAAAATGAAGGAAAAAGCAGAATCTTTATATGCTACAATGAAAGAAAAAGGTATGGTAGACTCTGCACTTTTTACAAATGCTATGATGACACTGTACACAGGCCTCGGAGAATTCGACAAGGTGGATCCAATAATTTCAGAAATGAAAAAGAAAGGCTTCTCGTTAGACGCGTGTTCATACAATATCTGGTTAACATCACTCGGGGCTCGAAGGTCTTTTGAAAAGATGGATCAAGTCTTTGATTCGATGAAGAAGAAGCCCAGCATTGATATTGGATGGGATACATATAGTATCATGGCTGCAGTGTATATTAAGATGGGATATTTTGAAAGTGCTGAAGAGTGTTTGAAACAGGTAGAGGGCAAAATCGATGGTCAAAATCGCACCCCTTATGATCACCTCATTAGTCTCTATGGTGCTCTTGGTAAACCCAGAGATGTCCACCGTCTTTGGATTGATTACAAGTCAAAATTTACAACTTTGTCAGATAAAGATTACCGTGAGGTAATTAAATCCTTGTTGAGATGTGGTGATGTTGAAGGTGCTGAAGTTATTTATGATGAATGGTTATCAACAAAGCCAACACCATACGACCCGCGCATAGGAAATCTTCTATTGGCGTGCTATGTGAAGAATGGGGAAACAGAGAAAATCAAAGCGTTCTTCAACCAAATGGCCGAATTGGGAGGGAACCAGAATCCAAAAACGTGGGAGATTCTAGCCGCCCATGAGATCAGAGGGAAAAGAGTTGCAGAGGCTTTGTCTTGCTTGAAAGTAGCTGTTTCTGTTAACCAATCAAAAAAATGGAAACCAGAACGTGCCCTCGTGTCTTCTATTCTCAAGAGCTGTGAGGAAGAAGGTGATGCTGCAAATAAGGAGATGTTATTTGAGGTGTTGAAGGAAACTGGGTATCTTCATGATGAAATGGAGAAGGGTGCTGAAAATGGAGAAGGGATACAATCTGCGTGAGACAAAGCCGTGTCATCATTTATCGAACCTTTGCAGTGCCGGAGCCCCAACACAATTTGGGTTGGGGGGGAGGGGCAATTTAGTCCAAGAATGTGAAGACCAAAATTTCCTGTTTCAGAAATAAAAGTGTCATCTTTGTGCTGTGTTGGTGATGGCTTTGGACAACTGAATATTAGTGACTGTCAAGTGTAGATTGTTGAATTGGTATGATTGGACCAATGTAATGCACATTTTATTTTGATGAGCTTATGATTTTCTCTCAACTTTTCTGAGTTTTCTCCTCTCCTTTTTCCTCAAAAACAAGTTCAATTTGATGCACATTTTGGCACCTGTTCAACTCTCTTTTATTCAAAACTTTTTAGTCCCACTCTGGTTCATGAGTTCTGAATTCTTTGTGGAATTGACTGCAACTCTTCTGCTAATAGACAAACATCAAGGGTTATTAGTCATTTTGTTAGCATTGAACAAAAGTATTTAATTAGGTTATACGGAGTAGTACTTATATATCAAATTTTTATAACATTTATATTTTAAAATCATCTTTAATTTGTAATTAAAGAGCGTCAAACTTTAATTAAAAAGAAGTCAAAATAGGAAGATTTTTGCAGGAGACATTAAGACCTTCCAGGCCATACTCTATAATTCTATATTGTTTAGGACAGCTTTGTACTTTGACAATTTCCGGAGCTCTAATCTATATGAGGTTTGATTGAAATAGGCTTTTCATTTTTTAAAGGAATGAATCTCAAAATAGACTTTTCATTTTCTTAAGGAATGAATTGGGCAATCTATTGTTTTTTTTGTACAAATTTCATTAAAAAATTGTTACTTATTTTAATTGGACCGATTCGTGTGACGTTGTTATCCAAAGTCATTGCATGGCACGACACGTGATACTTATGATGCTTCGTTTATAAAATTGATGATTCTTATCTTAACACTCTTCAAAACCCCTATGCCCGTACTCCCTTTGCCGATTGGCTACAATAGTCCAATCAGCGAAGGGGAGGGAGGTTGGGGTGCAGGGGATCAGGAAGATCTAGGAGAAATTAGGAATCATCACTTTTACGAATGGAAGAACTTAGATGCCTCGTGTCATGTAATAACATTAAAGATCAATCTCATAAGAACTGGAACATATTTTAAATTTATATAAAAATTATATTGAGAACTTAAATTTCAGACGAATAAGTAGTATTATTGAATTAGATCACCATATAGCTTCTTAGAGGCTAGCAAGTGCCCCTATTTTTATTTATTAAACAATGTGAGAAAATTTATTTCTAAAACGGGAATCTTAGGTCCATCATAGCTTAACTGAGTATTTGTTTTGATAACTAATAATCATTATAGTTGTAGTTTTTGCTCATACATACTCTTTCTCAGTCTAAATACTGAGAGTTATCTTTTGTGAGAATTGAGCAGTGGCCTCCTATTTGAAAGAGTCATATTTAACCTTTTTTATTATAGGTGTAAAATTAAAAAAAATAAAATTTATATTTTTGAAGAATACATCAAACATTTTACAAAATAAGAGGTGTAAAGACTATATTACTTTATCAAATAATTAACGAAAATATGCAAAGAAAATGATTAAAATTTGGCCTATAAATAGTAACTGAAAATAACGTTTTAGGACAAGAGAGTATTACAATATCTCAATAATTTTTGTTTGTTCACATGTTTTAATAGATAATTTGATAAAATAAAATATCTTTGTCACTTCTTATCATTTCAATTTTTTTATATGATTTTTAAATATGTAAGCTTTATTTTTATTCTATATCAATTTATAAATAAAATAATTTAGAAAATTACAAAAATTTATACTCTGGTACGTGATTCAAAGAATATAATTTATTTTAGAGTAAATTCCATAATTAATCCTTTATAACAGGGGGGTTTCCATATTTAGTACTCTATTATCAAATATTACCCTCGTAATCCTTTTTTTAAGGGTACCATTCCACAAATGGTCCTTTTTTTATCTTCTGCCGTGTTTGTGTTAATTTAAAGGCTAAAACTATAATTTGACGTCAACATTATGTCTAGTGACGTGTTCTGATATTGGCTAAGCGGATAACACAAAAATAATGACTACGATTATGAGCTATGATTCTGACGAAAGATCACATTTGTAGACTATAGTTGTCGTAAAAAGCGACTGTAATTCACAAACGACGCAAACAGAACAGCCTTTGGAATTGTGTATGACAAAAAATATATTATCATTGTGAAATTACACTTTTAGCCCTTAAATTAACACCAACATGATAGAAGATCAAAAAAAGGACTATTTGCGAAAAGGTACTCAAAAAAGAAGGACCACTTAGATAATATTTGATAATAGAGGACTAAAAAGGGAAACCCCTGTTATAAAGGACCAATTATAGAATTTACTCTTTATTTTAGGAATACATTTATCTTTACCTGCCTTGTTCATTATCCTTTCTTTGTAAAACCTTAGCCAGTTTCCAAACTTGAGCAAATCCAATCAAAATCCCGAACCCCTCCGGGCAAGATGCTGCTGAACCACCAAACCACCGCAGCCGCCGCAACCGAAACCCTACTCTTTCACCGCCGTCAACCCAGCTCTCCCTATCCAGATCGATCCCATTCACTGTCCTTCCCATCTGGATCCGAGCTTTCAAGCTCGAGTCTTCTCAAGCCGCTCACCGTTTCTGGCAATCCCGTCTCTCTCTGTATCACTTTCGCATTCCCATCGAAGTCCCGCAGAAACGGCACCGTCGACTACGAGAAGCGGCCGGCGGAGGCGTGGTTTGATCTTTACAAGAGACTTGCTTGGATGCCGGACCCGGAAAATGGCGCTGCTAGCGTGTTGACCCAGTGTGAGAGTGAGGGCCTCAGGATCCCAAAATCTAACCTTTCTCGCGTCGTTAGGCAGTTGCGCAAGGTCAAGCAGTACAAGCTTGCTCTTGAGGTGAAAATCTAGGGATTCCATCAATTTTGATTATTATTGTTGTTGTTGCTAATTTGTGAGTAGATATGGGCATTGTTTGGGATTAGTGTTTTCAATTAGCCTTAGCGTTTTTGATAAAATTGTAGTAGTGTAGATTAATTCTTAAAACGTTTATGCTAAAGGCTACCGTCAGATTGTCTTTTTAGAACGCTAACGCTAACCTCTAATGCTGATTCCGAACGGGGCCATGATTTATGTGTTCAGGACCTTACCCCGGATATGAATCTATTTAGGATAGATGAGAAAGCTAGGATTAGAGTCGTTGGATAAGCCTTTAGGCCTTTGTTTATAGTGTTTGCTTTAGTTATTGCCCTTTTTGCCATAGTTTGTAGTCTGTGAATGTATGCTTCTGTGCTAACGTGGGTATGGGTGCTTTTTGTGAATTTGTGTTCTTAGTTTGTTTCGTGCTACTGTGTTTACTTCTACTTTTGTGTTGAGGCAGGGTCTATAAGAATTGTGAAATTCTTCTGGGGTTGTTGTAGTTTTTTGTTCCGGCTTGTTTATTATGAATTTTGATTCTCTATTTGGAGCCTTATAAATGTATTTCTTAATTGCTACTTTCTCCAACCCGTAGAAATAGTCTTATTTTTCTACTTGTTTGTTTATAGTGTTTGCTTTAGTTATTGC